ATGATGATGATGGCGCCGTCAAATTTTACAGGCAGGACTCTGTGGTTGAGCAGAAGAGACAACAGGAAGGAGGTGTGGAGACGAAGGGGACCCTCAAGACAAGCTGGCTTAAATCCAGGCAATCGCTCTCCTGCACTTCACGTCATCTGGAATCGCTGACTCCCATCGTGACCCACTGAAAAACTTGATCCCCGCCACCATCCTCCCCATTAAACCGATGCGCCAACTCGCTACTGAGGTTCCCATCCAATCACATCCGCCGGTCGGGATGCCAAGTCAGCCCATCGTCCTCCTCCTCCTCTTTCACAAGTCTGAGACCCTCCCCTCCTCCATCCATCTCTCCTGGTATCCGTAGTGACTGGAGGTAGGGGTAGGAGGTTGCTAGGAGACGGGCAGAGTGTGACAGCAGGCCTCAGTGTGAGGGGAGCGCTGTGACGGACATTAGGAGAGAGCGCTCTCTTCTGGTCTCTGCTTGCTACTGACGGAGCTCTGCTTCAGTTTAATGCCTTAAAGCAGCCCTCATCTTTTTGGTGAGCACACAAATGATCAGACAGAGGTAAGTGCGTGTGTGTCTGTGTGCGCTTCAGGGATCTTTCGACGGCTGTGATTGTGAGGAATCAACTTGCTTGACTGGACCTGGGAGAGAGAGGACCGGCGTGTGTGTGTGTGCGTGTGTGTGTGTCATGTTCCTCTGAGAAGGATCCATCTTTGCATCATCAACCTCTGTTCAAGACACAGTGAGAGACTTCCTGAAGCCAGGCCATTTCATCTGAGCACCATTATGTTCTTTGATCTCGAGCAGTTTCACCAAGACTGCTGTGGGGGTCAACGCACCTCCATAACATTCGCCTCCGCACCTCATCTCACCGCTGCCTCAGACAACTGTTTACAGTAATTCAGCATCAAAGCGGCGCTCTTTACGCCAACATGACGCCTGATGTCCACGCCACACTAATTGTGAGTCCGTGAGGCGCTCCAGAGGAAGAAGAATGAAAGATGGCAAAAAAAAAAAAAAAAACAACCAAAAATTGCACAAAGCATAGCTTCAAAGGCACCGATAGAGCAGCTTTCCAACTACGTTTTAGGAGGGTTGTTTGTCATCTTGCTCAGTGTAATGCTACATCACAAGGCCAATGGGTTGTGAGCAGCAGCAACACATTTCCCCTGGCTGTTCACAGGGTGAAGCTGCCTCCTGGTGGTCGTCTGAAAAACTGCGGCTTGGTGCAGCTTTCAGTTCAAACCGTGAACAGGTCAGAGTGCTGCTGTTGTCTGAGGCTGCGAGGTGTGGAGTGTGTGTTTGAGGAGTCAAACACACACTCCAATTCGGCACAACTTTATGACTACTTGTCCAGCAACGTGTTGATCCGCATCGCCCTTTTCTCACCCGTTTGGTCACTAACGAATCCAGGGCTTCAGCGACCCTCGACAGCACATCCTTGTAGTTCATTTTTCCTTTTTTTTTACGTTTTCCACTGCAGGCCTGGAAGACCAAACCAGAGTTGCAGTTTTGGAGATCATCCGGTTCAGAAATTAGAATTTGGTACCCATCCAACTTGCTCAGCTCCTGCCAACAAGATGCTCGTATTCAGCCAAACGTTTACAGCTCACCCACTAACACCGGATGGTCTGAAGGGCGGCCCCCGGGGGCCAGTTGTGGCCCTCGACTGCAACTGAACGGCTGTACAAATCTGGGCCAGCCACTAAAATATTTTAGGGTCAAGTTTTTCCGGAGAAGTTAAAATCTTTTAAAATTAAAAATATTAGGCTTTTTTTTTTCTTTCTTTCTTCGCTTTAGCTTCACATTAAACAGGACCAAATCCGTGCAGTGACTTTTACTCAAAGCCAAACTTATCAAAAGATAAAACTTGAGTAAACTGCATCTTCAAAGAAAGTGGAAGCCATGTCCGGTCTTGGTTGAGAAGATTTTCTGCTTTGTTCCGTGTTGATTCTACATTCATGTGGAAAGAAAAGAAAAAAAAAAGTAAAAGATAAAATAAAATCAAGCTGCTTTGTTCTTTTCATGAAAAATATTGCACGTTTAATTGATTTGCTTGGCTATTAAAAGTTTCAAAATGCCCCTATAAAACGATTTGCGTTAAATAGTGAGACAAAATCATCATCTGTGAGTGGTCTGATCATTTCATGTACTGATATCCGCTGTTGTGAAGAAGAAATCAGGTTTAAAAAGTAAAACTACTTTATATGAGCAAATGTTCACATGCCAATAGAAGTAGTGCTTTAGAAAAATGTATCTTCCAGCCTGACATTTATTAGCTCTTAAAGTGATGTGATTTTGCAACGTCTCTTTGAACTTTCTCATTTGGATCCAACGACATGATCCAATGAGATCGTGTCGTTGGATCCAACGACAAACCATGCAAAACGAACCATGACTTGGTTTGTTTTGCAGTGCTCTTATTCCCCGACAGACTGGGTGACTTGAGTTTCCAAAAACATCAGCAATCAGCAGCGGTGAGGAAAACGACCACCTCTCTGAGCAGCATCGCACTTCACCGTTGGAGTGACGCAGGAAAACCAGATTGCATTCAGGTTGAGCACAAAGTGCAGCCACTTAGCCTTTGTTCCATCTCCACGGGTGCTTGGTGCTGCGCTCCAGCTGGGATTTCATCACCTGTTCCGTTGATTGAGCGACGTGCAATTTAACGACCTTTTACTCCGCCGAACCCTCTGTATGACAACAGTCATAAAGCTTTCGGTTCGAGACGATGGGCTTGGTCTGAACTTGTGGAGAGATTCTCTTTCCTTTTCTCTCTTGAGCTCAGATCTTTCTGAAGATTGTGAGAAATTGGTGCAGAGAGACAGCGGCTTTTTGTGTTGTTGTTGTTGTTGTTTTTTACCCGGACGCTGATGTCCACACACTGATTGTGGAGGTGCCACGCGTTTATTCCGTATCCTCTGTTCGATAGGCGCAACAGTCGCTGGCACCAACCAACCCACAGAGCCAAGGCGCAAGTTTTCAGATCACAATTTCTGGCTTTTTATATCCGCTGGATGTTTTAAACCTTATGGTCTTGTACTCTGAACTGGCTGCTTTTCTGTTTCCACATGGGTGCGCGTCGAGCCTCCTCTGTGGAAGATTTTCTGACCTTGCCTGCGAGGGAGAGAGCCTGAGTGTTGCTCAGCAGGCGTTCCCGTTGATTGGACAGGCCTGGCTGCCCTGAGTGCCGCGGCCCTCTTCATCTTGCCCCCTCTGCTCCCTCCGGTCTACATTTTTCCTTTCTTTTTTTAAAAAAAATAAAAGTATTTACTTCTTTATTTACTGCTGCTGTTGTGGCCACCACATTGTTGCTCGCGCCGACAACGAGGGGAAAGGAAGCCCGCGTGAAATCGTCAACGAACAATAAAATGCAGCCTGAAAATTACCCTCCGTTAAGGCGCTGTGATGCAGTTGCCATGGCAACTATGATGGAAATAGACGTGCGTCTGCAAGGGAATGAAACGTATTGAACTGTTGGTCGGGAACCGGGAAGATGTTAGGCCGTGATTGACGGGTTGGGCGTTTTGGCTGAATGCGGACGGCGGGCGCCAAACTGTTTGTGAAGGGAAAAGAAAAAAAAAGATGGAGCCCGCCTTTCCTCCGTATGCCGGTGCCACGTAGGCTATGGACGCGTGTCGCGGCTGTAAGAGGCTGCGTGCGTGACACACTGCGGTGTGTTAAAAGTGCAGCGCCGCGGATTGGGGGGGGGCCATAGCGCACAGCGTTACGCTGGCTGGAGACTGCGCCTCGCTCGCGGCCCCTGTGCGAGTGCAGATAAGCCCGGCTAGAGACAACACAATAAATTCAAGCATGCAGGAGAAAGGCTCCCGATTGTCGCACCTCCGCAGTGGGAATGGGCTTGAAGTTTCCTTCGATTTGAGTAAACAAACGTTTTACGTCCTCTGATGTAAATGAGGTTTGCAAACCTAAAGCTACTGCCTTGCTACATTAAAAAAAAAAATCCACTCTCCCTTTTCTACGTGGTGACTACAACTTGATCGCACGCCACCCTGGCCTGCATTGGGTGCTAAGGCTAATTAGCATAGCCGTCGATGCTAAGTTGTTTCTCTGACATTAGCACGTCAACGAAGACCTTAATCCTGGCTCTGATTGGTTGTTTCTGACCTGGAGCGCTCACGGCGTTTAACAAATATGTTCTGGAGCCTTGAGCAGGATTTGTGTGATAATCGGCTGATGGCCCAGGTGCTTTTTTTCCCCTTTTTGCTATGTTGTATTTTGTTAAATCCTGCTGTGTAAATTCATTCTTTATTGAATTTTTGGACTTGAGACCAGTCGGTCAACGGTTGCAGTCAATTATACTCAGTATCTCTCTGCTTGTGGGCCATCAGAGCCAAACTCTGGGTCAGTCGGGGTCATCTCTAATGAGACCCGAAAGCTTTCGAGCTGTTGAAATCTGTCTCATCTGCTACAATATTTACAAGCATCAGCCGAATCCCCTCCATTCTCTTGTGATGCCATCGACATATTCTCGCTTTCTTCTTCTGTTAGCTTCCCATGTGAAATGTGTTGGCGGAAATCTATTCCTTTTTTCTTTTTGTTGTCCTGTTCGATTTCATTGTTTTTTTGTTTGCCATCTTTAAAACCCTCAAACCGGCATTTCCCCCCCCCTCGCAAAACGTTCATCCATCTGTTGTCCTGCTCATTGCAGACATAACCTGCTTCTGCTGCTTTCGGCCCTGACTCCATGTCGCCTTTGTACCCCGGTGCCTTCATCGGGCTAATTCACTTTCACTTGACATGAAAAATGTACAAAGAAGCAGAGGAGGCAACAAGCTTATGCAAAAAGAAAAAAAAAACACATCTGTAAGCACTGATATAATCTTTAGATTTTGTGGCAGAAATACGCCAAGATCAATGAAAGAGCCAAAGCTTCACAGGAGGAGGGGAGGTGATGGAGAGAGGGGTGTGTGTGTGTGCGTGCAGGAATATGAGTCTGTGTGCAGGAATATGAGTGTGTGTGCATTTTCAAGGCGGTCTTTCTGTTTGCAAGAAGAAGAAGAAGAAGATTGAAGAAAAAAAACACAGGAAAGCGAATAATCTGTAGCCGCCAATGGAGGAATGAGGAGAGCATTTCCAGTGACGGGAAAGCGCGTCTGGATCGGAGGCTGGAGGGGAGAGAAGGCGATGCGTTTGGTTTTGGCTGGAGCTCGGCGGAGGCTCCTCGGCGGCGTGTGAGGAGGAGAGAGAGAGGGGAACAAGAGAGGGGAGGGGGCGGGGGTGTGTGGACCTCGCTGGTTACGGGACCCACAGGCTCCCCGATTGTGCTCCGCTCTCATCATTTCTGGAGGTGTAAGGACAAAAGGAAAAAGGAGGAGGAGAAGAAGAAGACGGAGGAGGAAAGGCCCGGGTTGTGGGTGTCGTGACGGGGCCCCCGACTTCGCCGCCGCCGCTTGGTTCGGGGCAGTCTGGGCTCGGAAGGCTGAGGGTTTTGGGGGTGGGGGGGAAGCGGCGGAGCGGTCCACTCGAGGCTGGGGTTTCCTGCCACAGCAGCGGGATTGTCACAAAACAGCCTTTCACTCTTCGAGGGGCCTTGTGTTGCTGCGGTTCCAGGTATGCCTCCAGAGCGCTAGCTAGCCCCGTCTCTCCGGCTGACTTGCCTTCCCCTCCCGGGAATGTTCGCTGTGTTTATTTAGCAGGGAGGACGAAGAAGAAAAAAAAGAGTCAGACTGCGAGACGGCGGTTTGTTTTTTGTTGTTGTTGTTGTTGTTGTTTTTTTTGTAGCGCAGTAAGTCACGGCAGGTCTCCTGTTGGAGACGTTATTTCTGCTGCTAGCTAACCCGTTTACCGAGAGGCTCTGGTGATTTCCGAGGGAGTCACATCTGCACCTAATCACCTCTCCTCAGTAGCTGCTCCTTTTTAGCCTGCTTTAACTGCACGCCTGTGTGCGGTGGCCTGGTGATAACGCCATAAACACAAACAGTCCGACCCACGGATGCTATCGAGTGGGTCCGTCTTAGCTAGCTCACAGTTTACGTGGCTAGCTTCGCATATTTAATTGGGGATATCTGAGGTGTTTTAGCTAGGGCTAACCTGACGAGGCTAAAAGAGGCAGCAGCAGCACCACAAAGCTAATTGTAATGCGTATTCTTTGCTGCCGGCTAATGTGGAGCTGCTACATCTGCAGCGCAAGAAGCCCCCCAATGTGGTATTGATGGCAGTATGACAAACCTTTACCAACAAAACCAGAGCTAACGCTGGCTCATTCTCTGCAATAACACTGCGTCTGCTTGCATCAATTAGGCAGCTCTGCTGATGACTGATTGACTGGCTGACAGGCTGCACTGAGAGAGAGGTTTTTTATTTATTTATTGCTGCTTTTTTGTTTTGTTTTGTTTTTTTGTGGGTTGGAAATGATGCTGCCTGGTAGCACACAACCAGATGTTTAGGGTTCCCAAACAGAAAGGGGAAACAAGGATTGTTATCCAATTCTTGAAATTTTGGGGAAAAAACAGGAACAGACAATGGACAAAAATGGACAGTTTGTTGCCTTATTTGAGACATAAAGGTACAAAAGTAGATTGTTCTGAGAAGTGTACTTGATTTTGTCATCCTTCCTTCATCATCAAACAATTCTCCCCTTTTTTCAGTTGATCATCCACCCACACCCATATGTTTGTTATTTATCCCCTGTTCAATATCCACACGTCTATACATTGGGGGTTTTTGACCATCAATTCGAGTTTGTCCTGCTGTCATTTACCTGTTAGTTTGACATCCATCAACTTGTTTCTCAACCATTTTTTATATAGATTATAAACATCCACCCATCAGTTCTGTCCAGTTTTTTTTTTATCCATCCGTCCTTCTGTTCATCGGTCATCCCTTCACTCATCAGTCCATCCATCCATCCATCCATCCATCCATCCATCCATCCATCCATACAGCCATACAGCCATCCATCCATACAGCCATACAGCCATCAGTCATATGCCAGTTCGTTTTTTTTAAGGTTTTGCCCAAAATGAAGTGAGTAAGTTTGAAAAGCTGTGTAGTTTTAACATGGGGTTTGAACAAATTAATGCAAACCCTGGATGTTGTGATCAATGAATAACTCCTCCAGAACTGCTGTCCTTCAGATTTAGGGACTAAAATCAAACACAATCAAAACGAAGTGGTCCAAGTCACAGCAGCGCCTCTTTGATTGATTGATTGATTGATTGATTGATTGATTGATTGGGCTTGCAGCCCTTTCTGGCCCTGTTTTACCACATGCTTTGCATTCAGCGGCACACACATTACAGGGTGGCCTTTGTTTCAGAAGCCACACGCAGTTGTTTTGAGGGACTACTAACACTTTTACAATGCAACTGAAACAGATAAAGACGGATAAAGAGGCCTGTTCTCACAAACGGCAATTAAAGATGCTGACCCCCATCCTGCCTTCAGCTATCTCCCAAAACAAGTCCCAGTATTAGTCTTGCGAAAAGGACCTTTGTTTGCCTCTGATCTCTCACAAGGTTATTTGTTTACATAATAAGAGCAAGTGTCGTGGATGTGTTACTCTGTCGGCTAAAATGAATCCCCAGCTTTTATATATTTTTTCCCTTCCAACAAATCTGTTTGCTATAGGCCACAGGAGACGGCGAGTGCATATATTGTTAAAGCAAGGACAGATGCGACGCTCTCGCAGTGCATATTAAAATACGAGCAGGAACTTAGTGCAGTGCTGATATTAAATTAAAATCCAGTGATGACTTGAATGGGTAATATAAGTGCCATGTGGTAATACTCATATCAGTGTTGCTTCAGTAAACACCGCGTCCTGTTATTGAGCTGAAATTATACGCCAATGTAGTTGCAGCATCTTAGGTGCATTTGATTGTTTATATTAAATAGACACAGTTTCAGCAATAAAATAAACATCCCAAGATGCAAGCAGGCTAAAAAAGCCATAAAATATTCATATAAATAAATAGTTTATTAAATGCATTATTGATACTTTTGGAGACTCTCAAACCTTTTGGCCAGCAATTGTAATTGGCTGAAATTCCCTAAACAATTGGCTGTGATTGGGTGATTGATGTTACATGTCAGATAAAGGTCTGGGATGGATGTTGTTATGCAAAAATGGGGCTAATTATTGAATTCACACGTTTTCTGTTGAATTACAATAGCAAACCTCTATCAGTAAACTAACAACACCTTTTCTTACGTGTTATGGATCAGAATTAGCAGGTCAGATCTCAACAAAGTCCAAAAATCTGAATCGGATAAAAATGATCAAAGTGATGACTAGAATCTCTTGTTTTATGATGCATATTAGAATCTTCCTCAAGTTCTGTTTAATTGACAATTAAAGAATGTTACACTTCCTTATTCATTTGACGTTTCTTTTTTCATTTGTTTTCCAGGCCAACATCTGATGGAAACGTGAATGCCGTATTGGGTGCGGATTTACAGATAACCCAATCTGGAATTGATGGAATCTGAAGTGGAATAAATGGATTACCCTGTTTTGGAAAACTGTTGCCGTGGAACTATTTGAAGTTAAATGACGGTTGACAAAGAACAGCAAATTGAATGCTGAAGGCGGCCGGGAGAGCACGGAGAGAAGTCTGAACACAGGGGGGAAAAGAAACAAGACAAAAAAAAAGAGAGCACCGCAGAAGGGACCAAATGCATCGATCGGCCAAATGAGTGCAAAAATAATTTCATCTGGCACCCACCAGCTGACCAGACTATCCATGGAGACTTTGCTTTTTGGAATAATTAATGAGGATCACTGTTTAGACTTCTTGATTCTCCCCGGGTGGGTTTTGTGTCACACAGGTGTGAGTCAAATCCACAGAAAGTCACACACAAGAAGGAGCTAAAGGATCACTGCAACAGAGCAACTTCCGTGTGTCTTTTGAGACTTTTGTTTTGGAAGTTTTGAATTTTTACTTGTGGATTGGAACGTCTGTGGAGTTTATCCGTATGAAGAAAATCCCTGCTGGCCATGTGGAAGTGCATGATATTTCTTTTGCTGTGCCAAACAAATTTCACTTTTTGGAAATAAACTAATGCATCTATGCATATCCCCTGAAAACCTTGGAGACTAACAAACAATCAACAGTCACGCTGAGTATGAACTGTTTTTTGGGGTTTTGGAGCTTCACTGGCCACTGATAAAACTACCAAGAGTTCCGCAAATAACCCCAGAGGAGGAGGTTTCGACATCTGTGATATAAATGTATAGGTTTTACCTTCACTTGTTTTCCGGCCAGGCTGTTGACTCTCTTCATGGTTACTGCCATAAGCCTGCCAGTTGTTCAGTCTGAAGCATTCCCTTCTATTTACAGTCACAGATTTTTTCCTTTTTTAAATCTGAATTCGGGGGGAAAAAAATGCAGAATTTCTCCAACAGCCCGGCTCCACCCTCAATCCCGCCAGGATTCAGCGGGAGGAGCGTGGGCGGACCGCCGTATCCCCCTCAGCCAGTGGAGCCCCAGATCTCTCCGAGGATGATGGAAGATTATGTCGGGATGCAGCAGCAGAGCATTCACAGAGGCCACCACCACCCGAGCCAAGCAAGCCACATGCTTGCGTACGGCGTGAGGAACAGAGAAGCTTTGGAGCCTCCGCCAACACAGGGTAATGTCCATGCCGGTAACAATAACAACCCCTACAGGAAGGAGGCTATGGAGTTTTATTTTTCAATGAGTGGAAAAGACAGACATAGGAGAGGAGGGATGGGCTATGGGGGAAGTTTTGGGTACCCCGGTATCGATGGACATATACCTCACCAGTATCGACATCCTGGATCCAGTTCTGCTACATCATCAGGCCTGATGTCGCCATACCCAGTTGATTATGGCTCTAGCGCTGGTTCAAGGGGTGCTGCTGGGCCCTTCTCTCCTTCCCATCAGTACAATATGAATCAAAACCCTATGATGCAGTCAGTTCCAGGCTCTCAAATGCAACAGCGCCAACATGGGCAGAGCTTTCCTCCTGTCCACCAGACACAGCAGCAAAGAAGCTACCCACACTCCGGGCACAGGATGACCCCACAGTACCATTACTCTCCACAGGGGGGAGCATCCACAGGGTCATCTGGAATGTACAGCCCACCTCCGCAGAGATATCTGGATGGAGCTGCGAACAGCAGCTTTGATCCTAAAGTCAACAGTTCCCCAAATGTCAACACTAGCTCCAATTCAGTGTCTAGTACAGGCACTGCTAATAACGTGGGCCCTGTGGAGAATGTTCAGCAGAGCTATCCAGCTTCAAATTATTCCGGATATCTCCCACCGTCTCATTCACTCCATAAGCAAGCCACACTACAGCACAGAAACTCGCAGCACAGTTTGGGGGTTGGTTATGACGGTTCTCTGAAAATGCCTCACCAGGGTCCGTCTGCAGGCGCCATTTTTGCAAAACATCATCAAGCCTCCAACCCAAGTATAGCTCAGCCATCCTCCCAAGAAATAGCCAAATCCCCTATGCATTCTAATGCGCAGCAAACTCAAATGAACCAAAACTTTAGCCCGATATCAAACCCCTCCCCTGCTGCCTCTGCAGTTCATTCCCCCAGCTGTAGCTCTTCTCCTTCCCCTCTAATGGGGGTCTCCGAGGCACTTGGGAATGCCTCAAATCACGGCCCTCCCATGTTGAGCGCCCGTAGTGGCCATGGCCACAGCAGGCTACTGCAGACCGCACCTCAGTTGAGTCCCACGCCCAACTCGAATAGCAGCATCAGTAGTTGTGGCAGCAGTGGCAGCCACAAAGCTCATAGCTTGAGTGCGGTTGGGGGGAGCAGCCTACCTCCAGTGGGTCGAAATAAAATGAGCCAGGGATCCCGAGAGGAAGGCTCCTCTGTTTATTCCACTTCCTCTCTTGACAGAATGCAGGATGCCGGCCTTAACAGTCTCAATGCCTTGAGCTCCCAAGTAGCCAATTTACCGAATACAGTTCAGCACATGCTCCTCACTGACACGGTGTTCTCGCACAAGAAGAGAGACGGCGGCCAAGCGCCACACGCGGCGCACTGTGTGGCCCCATCGCAACCCAGGAGCCGGAATTTAAGTGCAGCCTCGAGTGGCAGCACAGTCAAAGACCTCAGAGCTGGTGACGGGGCAGAGGAAGACTCAACTCTGCTGCCCGTCGGAGCGCCGTCTGGGACCAAAGTGGAGCGAGAGGAGCAGCTGGCTGAAGGGGAGCAGGGGAGAGCAAGGCAGGTGAGTGGTGCGAGCACTGGGTCTGAAGTTACGAGCTATAATCCAACCCATACGCAACCTGGACAGGCATGTAATGTTAAAATACTCGTCCCCGAATCACAGTCAAAAGAAGCAGCAGAAACTAAAACAAAAGAAACTAACATTTCTTCATCAGCAGCATCTCCATCCTCTGAAGGTAGTCTAACTTTACATTCAGCACCACCAGTTTCCTCCTTTTCCTCCTCCAATATTCCTCCTGCCACAACACAGAATTGTGTCCCAGAAACTGGTTTGGCATATAATGACCATAGAGGTGGGGAAATTAAAAAGGAAAGTGAAGCAGCAGCTGAGAAAACACAGAAGGTCAGCAGCCAAATGCAACAAGATGGAGGAGTGAGTACAAAAAATGGCCAGGAAAAGAAAAGCATGTTGCAGTCAGAGTCCAAGTCGCACAGTAACAAGGAGGAAGAAAAACAGGCATTAGAGGAACAGCAAAACGTCAGTAGCGTTGGTGTGATTGTTTCAAGTCACACTGACAAAAGTAAGCATCCCCAGGACAACTGTGTGGAAGAGAGAATGTCAGTCTCTTATTTAAAAGAAGCAAGCAGTCATAATGGGGAGGAAGGTGTAGATCTTAGTCTGTATTCGTCCCATCATCAAAAGTCAAACAGTGGGAGGTCTCCGAATCCTCCCCAGACTGCTTCGCATAAATACAGCTACCCAGAATCAACATGTGGCTCAGATTTGTCGATGAAAAACAGAGTGAGGGCTGGCACAGGGTCTGTAATGGAAACAAACCCCAGATTTTTGGGGTACCAGCACTCCCAGGTCGGTTATAGTCATGTGCATCCAAAAGATGGGTCCAGTTCTGGGGTCGAGATGCTAGTGAAGAGAGGTCACGGGGTGGGGTCTAAAGCTCAGGATGAGAACTCACAGATGCAGCAATTCCCGAGTCTCCTACAAGAAGTTCTTCAGGGTTACAATTTAGACAGACGCTATGGTAGACCAGAGCAGACGTTCCCTGCACGTCATCAAGCCCCACAACAGTTTCCATCGAGACATTCACTTGACATCACTGAGGCTTTGTCTTACTCAGCACAAATTGGAAAGACCGCAAATCAGAAACATGGAAGTGATCCGGATTTTGCCACAAATACTCAATCCTTAGTAAAGTCAGAGGTTTCCAATGCTAAGATTCTTCAAAATGCTGAAAAACCTGACATGGGTGTGTCCCAGAGCCATTTAGCACAGACTGCAGATTCCCAGCAGCCACCAGCTAAACACATCAACTTATCTGACTACTCTATGCTGCAGAGAAAAACATTATCTAACGTACAAGAGCTCCTTTTGCAAGAGCCAGAACCGTTAACTCTCACTTCTCAAACCGAGCCCCAGAAATCAGGATCCACATTAGCCCCGTCAGAACGACGATCCGTCATCTGCGACGTGTCGCCGAACCGACGAAGCACACCAGAGAGGGAAAGGGAGGAGGGGAAAGAAAAGGAACGGGACAAAAGTCAGAGTGCAGCCTCGGTGATCCAACAACCATTTTCTTCTCCGGCGGCACCAAGTGATCTCAGTAAAAAGGAGGTTTTAGAAAAACAAGTGAAAATGGAAATGGTGCCCAAAGAGTCTGGAAATTCACAAAATGAGAATAATGGCAGTCAGTCTGAGGCAGAGTATCATTCTAAGCCTCCTCATTTGACAAGTGGGGTGAGTCCTGACCCCTACAGGCGTGGCACCGTCGATATAACCCCCATGCCCTCTCACCCTGTGAGCATGACTGCTTTAACCTCACCAACAAGGCATCACTCATATCTTCATGGAGTCGATCTTTCATCTGGCAGCAGTGGTACATTTCCCTTCCGATATGGAGACACAAGGGAAGACAATGTGATGCCACGGAGTAATCTGCATTTTCCCCCTCACCATCCCTTTCACCATTTACCTCCTCAGTCTCAATCCACCAGTAAACTTCAAATGTATCCGCACGCACGTGGCCCCCCTCACCCTCCTCACGACATGAGTGAATGGGTAAAAGCCATAAACCGGCCTCCAAAGGAGATGATGATGATGCAGCATGGATCTTCTCCTGGGAGACACAAGGCTAACCAGTCAGAGCAGAGACAGCGATTGATCCCACCACCTGACATGCAAGTTGAACACACAAGCAAAACTCAGTCAGTGCATCATCAAAATCCTTACTATGATGTGAAAATATGGGAGTCTACACATTCTGGGAGAGAGGGCGCTCGAATGATGGAGGGAGACGCCTACTTTAGAGCCCAACCTCCTCCTCCTCTTTCTGGCCCTCCTCCTGTAGCTTCACACAGTCACGTTCCGACACAACTGACTCACAGCCACAATGCTGCCAAATCCGAAGTATCCAGAGGAGCTACAGAGGAGGCCAAACACACCTGTCCACCTCCCCCATCCATCTCCTCTAAGCCTCCTTTAGACACAAACACCACTCAGCCACCGCGTCCGACAAAAACCGGAGGTTCCGGAGACACAAATCCCCTGATTTTGAGAAGAAGGGTTCGCTCTTTCATATCTCCCATTCCTGCAAAAAGACTGCTCCAGGACGCACCTCAGCAGAGAGCCGCTACAAACTCTCATCACTCCCCTGGAGCTCAGTCTGAGCCCAGCCATCACAACGACGATGACTCATCCACCACAGAGGTGCCATGTCCTCGGCTCTCCTCCCCACAGCCAGGTGAGAACAGCTTCCTACAACCGCTGTCTCCTTCAGGTGGTAACACCAAGGTTTTGGCTGCCAGAAAAGGACGAGGCTTGAAACTGGAGGCAATTGTACAGAAAATTACTCCAAATATTAAAAAGCCAGCAGGTCCTACCGATGATGAGTCAAATCATTACCCCGGTTTCTTGCACTCAGACATCCCAGCTTTTAATGAGTCACAGGATCAGGACTTGGCACATTTCCCTAGGGTTGCAAGAGGGGAGGATAGTTACATGGATGAAAGTCACTCATTAAACAACATGATTCCATTTAGAGGAGTTGATGAAACTGGGCCTTTACCCACATCTTCCTTCCCATGTGAATCCCATCAATCATCTCAAGTCAAGCAGCAAGACTTTGACTTCGGTTTAGGGGCCACCGTGGCGTCTGCATCAGGTGATAAGGAAGACTTTGCTTTGCTTGGCCCATTACCTCCTCCCCCACCTCTTCCCCGCCCGGTCCAGGGTTCTCCGCCTCCGTCTTCATCTGCCCTGTCGGACATTCAGCATTTTACAAACACATACCAGCAGCTTGAGACTCGAAGGGGAGAGCAGTCTGCTGCGAACCTCCTTCGACAGAAACTCCAAGAATCTGGCATGGGATTTGAGGATTACCCTAGCAGTGACTACTATGGGACCACCCCGCCGCACCAAGGCCACATGCTGAACAGACAACATCAGATGTCCTCTGGAAGGTCCTGTCTGTCGCCGACAGACTCAAAGCTGTTGGAGAATGTTGTGCCCAAGGGCTATTTCCCATCTGGCAAGAAGAAGGGCAGGCCCGTTGGAAGCGTGAATAAGCAAAAACGGGCTCAGACCCAAGTCCCAGTGCAGGCCCAGGCTCAAATCCAGCCACAGAGCACAGCTCTAAGTGTTCCTCCAGTTCCAACCACTCCACCCCCTCCAGCCCCAGCGCTTGCCTCCACCCCACCAGCAACACAAACTCCCAGCAGCAGCACATCAACCCCTACCCTACCCACTCTGTCAGAAAACACAAACCCTCCCACAATACCCCCCCCTGTTCTGACCCAAGTGGTGAAAGTTGACGTCGAGAGTGAGGACACGCAGCCAGAGATTGAGGCGAAACAGGTGCGACGCAGACGCAGAGGTGTGAAAGTCGACAGTGAGGCGCTGGAGGCGAGGGGGCGGCAAAGGAGGAGGAGGAGAGCACCGGTACCTGCGGCACCACCCGTATCTAAAGACGAGCCAGATGCACCTTTGGGAGCAACTGTGAGTTTCAGCACAAACAGAGGTTGCCCAGATCCAAATAGAAAAGGCCTGTTTATTCCTCACATCCATGTGGAGAAAAAAGTACCTGAGATCGGAGCTGTGTGCACTATTGTTAACGCCGAGGACGACAAAATGAAAGGAGAGCGCAGTGCAGCGGGAGGAAAACCAGGAGGTGTTGGAATTGATTCGCTCCTGACCTCAGCGCTTTCCTCCCAGTTATCTCGGAGAGACAGAGAGTTGGAAAAAAAGGAGACGGATGAGGTGGAAACCACACTTCAGTCGGGCAAAGCACTTCCTTCATCTGGCTATGTCGTTACAGGGTCCGTGATCACAGAGACCAATCACTCCGGGCGCCTGCTATGCTGCCTGTGCCAGAAATGGGCAAACTACAAACATCTTGGAGATCTCTACGGGCCATACTATCCGGCTGAATACGCTGCAAAACTCCCCAAGAACCAGCCCCAGATCAGACAGTGTCAGCCCTCTACAGGCCCAAACAAAACCGGACCAAATTTAGACACGAACGCTTTGAGTACACTTCAAGTCACACCAACACAGCTCGCTCAGTTCAACAGGCCCTCATCTGAGAGCGACAATTTCTGCTCAAATCCAGCAGAGAGAACTGCCTTCCCAGACCCAACAGAGGAGATGATGATGTTTATGCCCGGAAAGCTCAGCAACAAAACACCTGTGACCTGGGAGAAAAGCCCCGATCTGCGACCTATCCCTGAGCTTAAAAGAGAGCCAGACCTCGAAGGCGACCAGCAGCAGCAACAGGCACAGAAGCTGCAGCCGCAGCAGCTGACAGACGACACTCAGCAGCGACCTCAGCACAGGAAGCTGACCTCACATCCCCGCTTTAAAAGGCGACACAAGTCCAGCGAGGACTCCCCTCGGATGGTTCCATCCAACAGTAAGGCTTCCCTGCCTTTTCAGCCCCCTCCGCCTGCCTTGGACTCCCTGGGGCCCTTGGCACAACTCGCACAGCTGCCACAGATGCCCATGGACCCAGAGGAGCTGTGGGTGCATGAAGGATGTATAGTGTGGACAAGTGGAGTGTACATCGTCAATGGGAGACTGTACGGCCTGCAGGAGGCACTAGATGGAGCCAGAGAAACTGTGAGTATCAGCTGTATTTGTCCTTTTCACAGGATGCTTTTAGTGAAGTCAAGTCAGAGTTTACTTATGGCACATTTACAACAATCTCAAGTGACCAAAATGCTTCATAAAAATCACATCATCAGGTAGACAAGGGATAAAACAAACAAAATAAAATATACACTAATATTTTAGTCAAACTTGTATCTAAATTTGTGTATTTTGTGTATTTTTTTCTCTTCATTTTTGCCTCTTGAAAGGTGGGTTTATGTCCAAGTTGTCCAAGATGTCCAAGATGATGTTATGTCCAAACATCATCATCTCCTCTGTTGGGGCTGGGAAGACAGTCGTTTTGCTTTTGAAGATGGGGTCAATATTGGATTTTATTTTACTGCATTTTTGGCCTCTCGATCATTTGAAACATATATATATATATATATATATATATATATATATATATATATATATATATATATATATATATATATATTTAATATATTTTAAATTCCAAATAAACAAAGCAGTGACACAGATTTTTTATAAATATATATTTATATATATTTAAATGTGTGTGTTAACAAAAACAAACAAAAAAAATAAAAGAATCAATTTACAAACAGTAGTTTAAAGAATCTGTATTTTTTGGTGTGAATTCCTGTAATCGTTTTCATTGTATTACTTTAGCCTATTCTAAAAAATAAATCCACGATCCGATGTAGATTATATAAAAACTCGTTAAGAGAAGCAAAGAAAACTTGAAAAGTCCATGAGAGAGGTTTGCTACTGCAATCAATATTAAATAATTAGGAGAGATACTTTTACAACCTAGTGAGACATATATGTTTTTCGTTTAGAAATTCTCTCCAGACACTGCAAGAAAAATGGCTGAAACTTTTCTTTTTATTTTTTACTACTATACATAAAAAACACTGCTTGCTTCTATAACTGTTATAGGTGTTAAAATAGAGCAGATTTGTTGTAGAAGACTTGGGACATTTGCATATCATAAACCTCAGCTATGGTAAATGTTTTTTACTCTGACAATGTTAATAGAATTAGGGATGCACCGATAAATTGTCTGGCCAATGAAGTGGCCCCGATTTCCTTAATTTTGGTGGTTTGGCAATCAACCAATTTTTCATGTGAAATCGATCTTATCTATCAATCTTTGCTACTTCCTCGAATGTCTGAAAATCAGCCACTGTCCTCTGTAGAGAGGGCTGACCGATGGACCCGGATGGTTAATAATAGTCACCCCTCTGTGCCACTATATTTAGCAACTTTTCAAACAAAACAAAAAGAATGGTATTGGCAAATCAAACGTTTTAAAGATTGGGATCGGCCATAAAACTGCAATCGGTGCGCCCCTATTTAGAACTAATGGAAAATGTCAAAACTTCAGGCTGGAAAAGTAATAAAGCATGTTTATATCTAGTCTGAGCTTTATTGAAAACTGTTGTTGACCTGCCAGTTTTAACATGACCGTTTATTCACCAGAGCTGCTCGTTCTGCGAGATGGTTGGCTCGACGCTGGGCTGCTACAGTAAAGGCTGCACTCTCCGCTACCACTACCTGTGTGCTATTGAAGCAGGTGAGGAGGTGCATGAAATACAGCCAGTCTGTTGTTTCCTTAGGCACTATTATTTCCCCCAATTCATTTTCGGCATCCCTTTGTCTTTTACTCAGACTGTTCTCTGAATGAAGATAACTTCTCGCTGAGGTGTCCGAAGCACAAGGTAAAGAAGGAGAGGTTCGTTTTTCTTTGCCTTGTTCACTAATCCGTTTATTAGAATATTCCCACACATGGAAAACTGACATAACATTTTCTTTTCCCCCATTAATCCAGTTTACCCAGAGCATCCGGCCAGCCAAGCCAGTGTATGTGGAGCAGTCAGAGAGAGGCTGAGGGAAGCTGGGAGAAGGAAGAGCCGGATTTGGGGAGCTGTAAGTCAACACTAACTTGGTTTCAGATTTATTTAATTATTTTTTTTTTATTGGGAGGCAGAACTTGGCTCAGATATAAACCCAAGCAGAAAACTATTCATCTCCAATAAGTAGTTTTTAAAATGATCAATTTTCTGTTTTCTGAAATTTTTGCATGATTTACTTGAAGGTGCAGCTTTGTCCTGTAAGGTCGGTGTCCGGGCGTGACATGACGCTTTCAAATGCCTACTGTAACCAAATTGGCAGCATGCTGAGTGTTCATTTCAACTTGGTTGGACAGCACAGACTTTAAACTTTATTAAAGTAGTGTTTTTATATTGGTTTTGTTTTTCATTTACTTCCAAATAAAACCAGATTTATGATTAGTCAGTTTTGGCATAATTTTGCTTTGCGATCAGGAAGTGTGTGAATGCAATATGACACCAATTTTTTTCGATTTCCTCAAATGCACCACATTTCTAAAGCAAACAATAAAAAAGTTTTTGTCAGTGTGATGGCACGGTAGCGACAAACGTGGTGAGAGAGGGGCTCTGGAGAGAGTTTTGGAAACGGGAAGAGCGCAGTGACGTTTTGGATTTTAGCAGGAAAGTTTTTGGTGAGTTTTGTGGACTATAAGTGTGTCAGTTGGAGTTTGTGACTGTGTGTGCAGAACCACGACCTTAGAACGTTAACTAGCCTTTGTGACAGTCACAGTAGGGTCATATGACAGAAAGACAGAAACCCGAGGAAACAATTATTCTTCCTGAAACTTGGAAAGTAAAAAAAGAAAAAAAAAAAGTCACCTTCCTCAGTCTGAAAAAACAAAACAAGAACAAAACAGTTTATTGCTTTCATCCAACCTTTAATCTGAATACATTCATTCAACGGAGAAGAAAAGCCAAAGTTCAGAAATGCTTGTTCCCCACATTTGTTATGTGTAACAACCCCTTTAAAATGATGTAACTTCTGATTAGGAACCCATGACTCCCTGTTGCTCTGGGGTACAGACATGACGCGACTCATTCCTTTAACCAGCGACCACTTGGATGTTTATCTCATCGCCATGCAGAGTGAGGAATGTAAGGCAGTCAAAGAAACCTCCAAAGCTTGCTGAGCTGCAACAGCGAGTGGCATCTCAGAGTCACCACATCACCACAGCAACGATCGATGAGTACAACAAGGAAAAAATCCTTTTCCGTCAGCAACATAAACATGGGGAGTTCGAGTGGAACTCTGTGGTTTGGTAATTGAGATTTTTAATAAACAATCCCAAAATATGGCAATCACTTCATGCCTAGTGTTGAGGATGGTGGAAGATTTCTGATGTCGTTGGCCTGTTTCTCTTCAAAACGCCGGGAAATCTGATCTGAGTGAAACTTATCATAAAATCGTAAGTTTTCACACGTCAGGGGGTTAAAGCACACAGCAGGCTTCCACATTTGTTGGAAAAGAGAGAGAGTTTTTTTTTCTTTAAAGGCTTCAAATACATCTTTTTCCAGGGTGCCAAGAAATATGGTAGTATTTCCTCATTGATGACGATTATTTTCATGATCTTTTCTGGTTCATACTGGAGATGCACTGAGCACTGTTGTTATTGGGCCGATATTGAAACAAATTCTAGATTGGTGACAATGCACCAAGGCAAACCTGTTGATTTGTTGCAGTTTATTGTCTGAATGTTCGATCAAGGTATTCAGCCAGTTTATCAGTTTCTTTATTCATTTTACATTGGTTGCTCTGCTCCTAATTGGACTGACTGAGCAAATTAAGGTTCTTTTGTTTTTACATGTTTGACTAAACTTATGAAGCAATTGGTGTATTTAAATGTGCTGCACTGGTGCAGAGTTAGCAAATAAATTAGTACATTCAGGAGATTTCTCCAGTCAATTCAGAACTGTATCGGATTGGTTTCAGCCGATATTGAACCTCAGATATCTGTATTGATATCGGAAGTGAAAAAAGTGGATCTGTGCGTCTCGTTCAAACCTCATCCTCCCAAACTTTCATTTAGCTCATTGCTGCACGAGCCACACTGTTACTCATCCTCCTGCTCCCCTCACCTTTGTAACGGTGCTCCTGTCGCTCGCTGTCACTTCCTCCCCCTCACATTCAAACCAACCAGTCTCCATGGAAACCAGTCCACATACAGTACAGCTCATATTTCTGTCTGTTTGCGTAAGTTTTATCAAGGCGATGTGCAGCTCAGGCTTTGTCGTCGGGGCGTATCCCTTTCCGTTTCTTTCCGTTTTACCCCTGAATCATTCCTCTCTTGAGTGTTTTCACATCATGTAACAGCCACAAACCTGAGTGAGTTCTGATTATAGGTAATAGACCAACACAGAGTGAAGCTTTTGGTGAGCGTCACTATTCAGCTCCCTCAAGGCAGCCGGTTGTATCGCTCAGCTTTCTAAAGAGGGAAACGTTTGCCTGTTCCTCTTGGTGTAGATCTCAAGCTCCGTTAGGTTCAGTGGAAAACATCTAACGAAGATCAATTTTATTTTACAGTCATGCCGTGGGTCCCGGTTGGATTCATGGGTGGATTTTAGCTGTTCCACTTTTAACATCAACCTGAATTTTCTTTGAGCTCAACAAGTGTTTCCCAACCTTTTTTTTTTTTTTTTCTATGTGCTCCCCATCCACAACCTTAAAAAAAAGAAGTAAATTTTGTTTAAAATAGTTGAGATATTTTCTTTTTACACTACTTTGAGATTTCATCTGCCTGTCTATGGATCAAACAGCTAAATGTGTCTTTCTGAATAAAGTAGAAATCAAGTTATTTTTATTATTAGTAGTATTTTAATTTTTGTTCCAAGAGCGATAGTTCTATTCCATGGACTCATTTGGACACTTATTACTAAGAGCACTGTTTGTTTCAACTGATGGTTTATTTGGGTTTAGTTCATGCTGAGGTTCTGAAAATGTACAATCAAATAAAACTACACACCGTGTCCCAATTTATTATGCAAGTGATATTTTCTCAGATTTTCTTAAATGGTCGATGCAAATTATGGTCAGGATAATTTTCAAGTCATGAACTATTACAGTTTAAATCATATTTTACTGAACAAAGCTTCCCATGAGAACAATATTTTTTTTTCAAAAATCAAATTATTATGCACAGCAGATTTTCTAAACATTTTATGGATCATAAAGAACTGCAAACGGTCATTATTTGAATGTGCAGCATTAAATGGTCGTATGTACTAAAATCAAAAGCATCTTAACAGACATACATGAAGGTGATTTTGCTGCTGAAGGTACGGCTCTTCTTTTTGAACCATGAAAGAAAAAGATCAGTCAGAAAGTCCATATACTTTGCTGAGGTCAAAGTAAGGCCTCCAAACGTGGGGCGTGCTAACCCCCTGCGCCACCGCAGCAAGTGGATTTCCTTTAATTTAGCTCACCAGATAAACTAATCAACCAGGTCCCTGAAATTAATTATAGTGACACACAATACCATCTATAAATTAAGTAGCACAACAAAAAATCTCATCTTTATGACACTTAAATCCAATTTGCATAACAATTTGGATCACAGTGTATGCAGATGACATCATGCTTCACACCAATTTGAGGCAGGCTGTTAATGAGCTTCCAACTCACTTTCAGCTGCCACAGCCGTCGTTTACTCAAGTTCCCAATAAAATATGTTCAGCTTTGTTTTTGTAGCACGTGCGTGAATACTTTTGGAAGCCGCTGCATAGAAGCATTTCGATTGCTAATTATTGTCTCTCTTCACAGGGTACCTTGGACAGTAGGCCTCGGTGTGGGGGGAGCTGTGAAGAGACCAGAGAGGGATTCGTCGAGGAGAACGACTAAAGGGAATGTACAATTTCTCAAACTGAATCAGCATCACTTACATGTACACGACAACGGAAGAAAACAAACCATTTTTACCAGAATCATCGCTCTTTACTCACAGAGGAACTCATCTGAGGAAAAAGAACAAAACACAACCGTTAAAAAATACACGACAAACTACAGCGATCGAAGCGGAACGAAATGAGACGTGGAGACTGACGGAGGGATTCCGCTGTAAAGAACAAAAAGAGACAAGCTTCTTCTCTAGGCTCGCTTTGATTTTCCAGACGACCCAAAGTGTTAAAACTCTTGCTTATCATTTTCTGCATCGTCATTTACTCTTTTGTCTTCTTGTTTGCTTTGAAGAGATGTAGCGGGAGCAAGTTGGGTGTCGAAACCCAAACAAACGGAAAAAAACAAAAACAAAGATGATCTGGGAGAGTTGGTGTCATTTTACCTGTTTAGTGTTTTTATGTTATGGTATTAGGATGATCGCAGTTATTACTTTAATCCTCATTATTTTGTATTCTCGTCAGCATTTACTTATGACAATGAAATGGATGTATGCCGCTTTATATTCAATCAACACCTGAGTTGGAATTTTTTATTTTTTTATACTTTTCTGTTGCTTTTCCTGGAGAAGGAAAGAGCCGGAGCGTCTGATGTCTGGAATGTCAGGGTCGAGTTTGCCACAAAGACATTATTGCCTTGGAGAATGGACATCTGTTGCCTTTAAGAAAAAGAAAAAAACAACAACAAAAAAATTACCCAAGTTGTGAATGAGCGAGCGATGAGTGTGCGCGTGCGAGGGTGGGTGGGTTGGGAGGGGAAAATGCCGAGATCTGGGTCTTTGATTCCATTTTTTTGGTCCTTTTTGAAAAGTGTTCTTATTTTTCATCACAGGGGTTTTTACGGTACAGATAGTATTCATTAAAAAGAGAAAAAAAAAAAAAAAAATCAGATGGACAGTCTTATTTTTCAAGAGCAGAACGTTCATAATGTGCAAAGAGAGAGAGAGAGACTTGTAAGAGGACGAGGCGACACTATGGACTGAGGCTCGTTTGCCGAGGACACATGAAGGACAAGCGGGGAGCTTTTCTCTCGCACGCTGGCGAAACGTTTGCGGCCGAGCCAAGGTTTCTGGACGCGCGTTGCCCCGTGGCCGGCCGTTTCTGTCCCGGCCAAAGTGACTCTGAACCAAGTACTTTCGAGAGAGGTTTCCCACTTCGGCGACGCAGCGGCGAATGAAGCTGAAAGACGCAAAATCCATTGCCATCAGATTTCAAAGTGAGTCATACATGGTGTTGTCCTTATTACTTTTTATTGTTATTCTTGTACAAAACAAACAAACGAGGAAAAAAAAAAGGTCAAACTGAAAGACAGTGACACTATCAAAACCATGCTGTATTAGAAACCTGTCAATATGTATATGAATTATGAATACACTTAAAAATGCTTCAACTTTGTTTCAGCCTTCTTCATCAGATTTGCGCGGCTTTTCTCTCTCTCTCTCTCTATTTTTTTATTTTTTTTTCCCCCTCCGTGTCTTTCAACGTTTCCAGCTGACAGGGAGGGTCCGTTTCACAGGGTTACACCCTCCATAGAAGATCTGACAAAACGCACCACTGAGTCTAAAACCTGTTGCGGCAAGCCCGGGACGGGCATTCACCGCAGCTTTCAGGCAATCATTAAACAGCCCTGCCTGACAGATTTGTTCAAAGCAAGAAAACAATCGTTGGGTTCCAGAAGCCTTAATGGGGCTTAAGTTTAACGCTCGTTTTATTGTTTCCCAGACTGGCAGGACGATGCAAACAACCCGGAAACAATACTACAAGGACAACATGGCTGATGCAGCAGAAAAGCCGTGTTTTCCTTTTTTTTTGTTTTGTTTTGTTTGTTGTTTTTGTTACAGACTATAATACTTGTTTTATGTGATTCGTATAATTCAGATTAAGCTGCTTTTAATCTGATTAGTTAATACTTTGTGCCGGCTGCAGGTCTTCTGTAAGTTTTTATTAGATCACGCTGCTGACTGGTGGACCTTTTTCTTTATTGGTTTGTTTTAGGTCGAAGGTCTCAAACTTGTTTCATTTCTCATTTTTCGGCCAATTTCAAACTCAAAGGCCGGTTGTGCCAGAATGCAGGTTTCATGGATTTGAAACCTGCAAAAAAAAACCTGATAAAACAACAACAAAAAGCCATCTCTGCAGTCGATAAGTACTTCTTAAAATGAAATATTCTCCATCTGATCCCTTCAGGATTCACAATTGGGTTTTTTGTGATTTAAAAAAAAAAAAATTCTGCAATCATAATTGCAGATTTTGTGCCTCGAGACAGACAACATAAGAATATTTATGTAAGTAATAATGTTTTAGTTTGACGGGCGTTTCACATCTTCTGGAAGACCACGCTTTCCGTTTCTAGTAGAATCCATTTGATGGAAATCTCATTTTACGAGGAGTCGGGGGCGCCAAGCTCTCCACTAAAGTTTCATAAGTCGTTTTGAGGAAAAACATCCATGGAATCATACGTCCTCCACCAGAATTATCATGAACTTTGACCTCACTTGACCAAAGCACAGGGTTCAGATTGAGGGGACAATAGACTTTGCCAGTTGCCACTTTGTTGCGTTTCTCCCGGGCAGCACTTCGGACGCCGCAGCCTTAATGCATGGATTTGAATACTTTTTAAATTCACACAGGTTCTTTGAAATCTACAACAGCATATTTGGGCCATTGTATAAAAAAAAAAAGTTTCAAAAATCTTCAACTAATTGAGTATTTTCAAAAATGAGGGGGGGTTTTCTAGCGAAATTTATATTTTCCAAGCTCGGAAATATATATATATATATATTTATTTTCTAGAAAATTTCATAGATTGATCTCAAAACGTTGGAGTTTTGTGGCAGAAATTTACAGTTAGTCTGAAATGTTAAAATGTAACAAAATAGAAACTCGTAGGGGGCGCTAACACCGTTTAATGGAGTTGTACATACAGTTCAGTGCTTTGCACCCATCAGGTCTTAATAAATGAATTTTGTATGAATGCTGTCAGTATCCAAACTTCTCTCTCCAAAGGTCCTACTGCTCTTCAGTGCACAGTTTCTCTCTCCAAATTGAAAGTTGTGTGTGTAGCTTTGGTGTCGAGGTTAAATCAAGCCGACATTGCTTGTGCAGGCTGAAAAGCCCTGGCTGGAGATTGGGGGATGGAGGGGAATGAAATGGATCAAGATGAGTCTAGGAATGAAATTGAAACAGATGGACCTGAGCTGCCTGTTTTGGATTTATTTATACGGCTGGATTAAAGGCGAGTGTGTGTGTGCGTGCGTGCGTGCGTGTGTGTGTGTGTGAGTGATTGAGAGATACACTCCTGCTTGTGTCGGGAGTGACCGTCACACATCCCCCGTAGAGGTCACTGTGGTGACCAAAATCCTCCCGTCATCAGTGGAGCAGAGTGGGAGTGGGGATCCGTCGCTTCTTTTCCACTTTTTCTCTCCGAGAGGCCGAGGGAAGACGCACAGCAGGTAAGAACCCTTCCTTTGTGTCCAACGTGCAGCGGGACTCGGGGCGCTCGGATGCGTCCGTCCCCCGGATGGTTTCCATGGCGATGGCAGATTACCTCCCCAGTTAGCGTGACGCGTCTTTTTTCAGGGCTGTGTGGGTTTCAGTTTGTTTGCAAAAGTTGGTGACGATTGGCGTTTTGGAGAATTCATTCGCAGGGCTTTGCAACTTCTGTGGATTTTATTGGGACTTTTTGTGACCGACCAGCACAAACGGGACGACTTTGGGAAGTGGGGCTGAAATTTCTGCATCGTTTGAAGTTTTTTTTTTTTTTTTTATCAGCAAAAAGAAATAAAAAAAGCCTTGACAGTGTGATGTGTAGTTGTATTCAGTGCCTCTGAATCAGTACTTTGAAGACCGGCTAATGTCTTGCAAATGTTTTTCTGTGCACAGCCCAGAGCAGGGGTCAACGACCTTTGCAGCATTAAGAGCGGGTTTTGCCTTCGCTCCAGCTGGACAAGGTGAAGAGACACAAAAGATACAAGACGCTTCAAAACAAAATAGACACTTTTATCAATATCTGTTGCTAGAATTGAATTTTTAGATTCAAGAAAAACTTATTTCTTTCAAAAATGTTTAAACTTTTCCATTAAAGGGAAGGAATACATCTTTCTGACCAGAAATGTTTACATTTTATGTATTTTCTTTTTCAAACTCAGATTGGAGTGAAGATCAATTTTCATGTCTTGCCACAGATTCTCGATCGGGCCGGACTCTCAGACATGCTTTGATCCAAATCCGTGGTGAAAGAAGGAATTTAATTTTTTTTTTTTTGTAATTATGAAAAGGCGAAAATGACTTTGGTGTGAATATGAGTCATTTAGAAAATGCCATATTTGAAAGAAACAATGTTAGGTCATTGTAGAAAGGGAATTCTGCAGCTCGTTGCAGAGTTGAAACATAACGAGGTTCTCGCACTTTTGCAACATTAAAAGAAAAGCAATAAAGTTCTTTTTTCGTTTTTTTTTTTTTTTTTCTGAATCTACATTTTGAAAATAGTCCGTGCTCGACATCGAAAATGAGATGCAGCTCACTCACTATGTTCCACTGCAGACCTGGCTGTTCAGGGTCGAAGGTGAACCTCCAGCCTTTCTCCTTTCCTGTCCTCCATTTTGTACTGGTCTGTCATAAAAATCACAACAAAGCACAGAGAAGTTTTAGGAGGATATTACACAGAATCCACTTGCACTAAACTGTTGCATTTAGAGAACGTGTCTGTCGTCCCAACAAAGCTTTTCGAACAAAGACTAAAAAATGTTTTAACTCTCGTTTCCCTCCGCCAGCCTCCTCCCACCATGGCCTTCGTCAAGAGAGTGCGCTCCCCCTCCCTGTCCTTCTTCCAGACGGTGGTGTCCCTCCTGCTGAGCACCGTGGCCCTCACCTCTTCCTTCTGGTGCTCGGGTCAGCAGAAGGTGCCCAAGCCTCTCTGCACGGCCACCAAGTTCACGCGGTGCATCCCCGTGCCGGGCGTGTCCAACACCTCCAACATCCAGTTCTTCTGGGAGACGGGCGACGACCGCTTCGTCTTCCCGAACTTTCACACCGGCCTGTTCATCATCTGCGAGGAGAACATCTACGTGGACGAATGGGGTGAGAGAGCGAGGGGGTTATCAGTTGAACCCGAAAGGGGGGAAAAAAAAAAAAAAATTTAATAAAACGAGGAGACGATGCTCTCTGCAGAATCAAAAGTAAAGTCCTAAAGAAAGAGGACTGGCTGGTTCCAGCAGCAGAAACGTCCAGAAACCATCCGCAGTGACTGCTTAAAAAAAACTGAACAAGAAAATATGAAGTCAAAGGTACAATTTCTTTGTCTCAAGGCCAGTTAGGGTGAGATATATTGTTTTAATTATATATACTTTAATATGAAACTTTTTTTTATTTTAACTGTCAGTTTCATGTTATTTTAGTAACAAAAGCCAATTTTGTTTTTTAATGTGATGAAAGATATTAACATTTAGCCACCCTACTTATAAACGTCTAAGAAAAATCACTGCCGTTAGAGTGACTTATGTTGATGCTCTTATTTTGAAAAGTGACCGGATGTTCTCTGTTGAGAGAAATGGAGACGCCACTAATGTCAAACTGGCTATTGCTAACGGCGTCATTATATCAATGTCTACTGATGTTGCGTTACAACAGGAAGCTCGTGAAATTTTAAAAAAGCAAAGGAATGTCCAATGCAAGAGAAGAAAGACACCAATATTTTAAAAATACAAAATAATGTCAAGTGATGGACGTTAATTTCGTCCAGTCTGGTGTGCTCCTTTAGAAATCCCTACCTTGTCTGTGGACGTATCAAATTGGAAATAAATAAATCTGATAGGTTGATAGCTCTTACCAGTCCCTACTTCTACCCTTGCTCCCTGCTGAAGGTCGTTTTCTTTACCCAATTTCCAACGTTTGCCCCTGGCAAATGTAACGAGTCGGTCCCATGCTAAGAAGCTTATAGGAAATTGCCTGCATTCTGAACAACAATCCTCAGGCGAAGAGAGGAGCGGGGAGCCGAACAAGGCGGCTGTTGATGTCGGCTAAATCTTTTTGGAAGGGTGGCCAAAACGCACTGAACGATTTTTGGTTAGTTTGTACCGGAAACCAACGTCACCTTTCACGAACTCTCCTTCTGTTCGCTGATTGGACCCGTTGAAATTCTACCAAAGAAATCCAGTTCAATTGGAGAAAACCAGGTGGAGTACCGACAAGAAGCTAGAATTGAGAAGGATTGTGTAGGAAATCAATGACTGGATGTAAAAGGACAACATTGCTTCTTTTCTTTGTTTTTCTTGTTGTTTGATGCAAAAGCCTGAAAATGTCGCTAGAAACTCTGACAGGGATTTCATCGGCTGCAGAAAACGAATAAATGAAAGAACAACGGATTTCTAAGTGAGAAATCTAAAGACGCTAATCCATTTTTGTTTTTACATGTGACTCTTAGAATATTAAATGAATCTTATCATGAGGGATTACAGTAACATGCTGTTGACTGGAAATGCTAATTGGACTTCATGGAGCAAAACCGCTACTGGTCCCAGTAAGAAGCAGGGCCACAGGACGGTAGTTTGGATGAGCCAGGATCTCCTTGGCTCTCGCGTAGATGTGTGACTGTGAGCCTGCGGCGCTGTGCTCTCGGCCCAAAGAGGATTATCACCACGGCGAGTTCTGCTCACGGAGATTTAGACTTCAACGGTACGACTCAATTATGGATTAAAAGCCTGGGAGGCCAAAGGTTAACAGGATTCACAAACACGGGCCGAGTTATCATCGTCTCGTTTGCAGCTGATTAGACGAACCGAGCAGGAACGATGTGGGGAGTTGAACCATCAGCCTCTTAACTCCTCCACAGCAGGAGCAACGAGAGGACAAGAAGTCCAAATGCAAAAACCTAAAGTGTACGTCCGGGATTCGGTGTGCTGGATGTGCTGGAGTAACTTGTTTTCATAACTCTAAGGCTTTCTTGGCTAGACTGTCTAGTTTCAAACTGACATTTTCACAGTTTCGAGTTTTCACAGGTCATCTGTGAAAACTTTGAGCATTTCTATCTCCTCCCAACGTCACGATCGTCGTATGACGAAATGCTCCCAGTGGAAAAACCACCAATCAGAGCAGACTCAGTTATGCTTTTTTATTGATTGGAAGCGATTGGTTGTTCTGGATTGGATTTAGAGATATTAGCCACATCTCTAATGTTGGGTTTTTCTCCACTTCAAATCAGAACGACCTTATTTTGCTTTGGGGCATAAGTTACGTTGACATTTGTGTTTGAAAGTGGGGAAAAAAACACAGATGTCTGACAGCACAAAATGGCATCTGGTCTGTTCCATCTTCCAACTCTACATGTCGTTCGTGTGGTCTTGATTTTTTTCCTGCCATCCTTAGTTGCACCTGCGTCTTTAAGACTCATCCTTTTGTGAGTTTGGAGGCAGATTATTGGAGCGATCATTTAAACAGTTTGGCAATCAAGCCGCAAAGAAGCTTAACTAAAAACTGAGAGGGAAAGACGCTGCTGCTGCTGCTGCTCTCTGTTGATGCGCTTGCAGCCAATCAAGATTCTTCTGAGAGCAATAATTGCTTTCTGGTTGATATTTTGGTGAAATTTAAATGATCGTTATTAACATCGTAGGAAATAAACAAATCCCCACTAGCCTGTGTTTCGGCTTTTGGTGCAGCTAATATTTTTCTTTCCGCTGCCATCCTAGCAGATTTACACCAAACAAATCCTATAATCCCTCATCAGGTTATGCCCGGCATTAGAAAGGCTTTATCCAAACGGCCTTGCCACATAATAGTTGATGGATGTGTTTAATTAAACTTGATGTTTCCTCTAGAAGAAAAAACGAAGGTTTCTGATGTAATTCTTGGCGTTTAATGTGGGGGCTTTGGATGTTTATTACGTTTTCTGTCCATACAGATTTGTGAGTTTATTTTGTAACCCCCTTTTCTTCTTGTCCTTTTAGAGGAGAAATGTCGATGGTTTTACAGTTTGACTCCCGAATCAGAGGAAGGTAAATTCTCCCTCCTCCTGCTGGACGATTGTCTGACACACATGTTTGTTCTTCCAGCTCTCAGCCTCCCGTTTCTTCCTCTGCAGCAATGATTTGGCTGTGTCTCACGTTGGAGTTCATGTACGTCGGCCTGCTGCTGGTCAGCTGCCTACTGCTGTCCGCCCAGCTGTGCATCACGGCCTGGTTTCCCTCCACGCTGCGCTGGGGCCAGATGCTCAACGCCTTTGCGGCGGTCTTCACGGTCTTGGGAGGTACAGCTGTTGCCCCCTCAGATCTACGTGTGGGCTGCTGGTTCGAACTGAAGCCGTTGATTTTTGTGGGGGGTGTTTCGTGCTTTGCAGGTCTTCTTGGGATGGTGGGTCACATGATGTTCATGCAGGTGTTTCAGACCACGGTTTCAATGGGACCAGAAGACTTTAAACCTCACAGCTACGGCTACTCCTGGGCATTCTAGTGAGTTTGTTGGACCTTTCTGTTTAATCGGAACATTTTAAAGGCCCACTTTAAAATGTGCTTCAACATGCGCTGAAGCTCAAGCCGTATGAATATCATATTAATCGTGACAGTTTGTGGAAAAGTAAAGCAATAGTAAAACAGGCTTGTCCTAATATTCTGAAATAATGTTCATATTTCAACTTTGAAATAAGAATGAACTTGTCATCACTTATTAATTTATTTTAGTTCATGTTTTTGTCAAAGCTGCAGGCATACTTACTATCCCAAATATTGTAGTGGGTCACTTCTGTTTCAATTAATTTATATAAAAAAAAAGTATTTTCCCCTTTTATAGGAAGGCTAAATCAAATCCAAGACTTATCGCAGTTTTTTTTATTTACCACACCTATCTAACTAGCTAGCTAGTTATCAGCTCTAGAAGGAGAACCGACTATATATCCCTTTCCCATCACTCTCTATCTAGTTAGCTAGCTAATAGGCATATATTACTATCTCTTTCATAATAGTCTCCAGTTTAGGAGGATTGCTAATTGTTGTCTGACCAGATGGCATGTAAAATTCCTCCACTGAATTGGGGTTTCTCCTTTCGGAAGGACATAACTGGGAATTCTCGAATAGACACCCAAACAACCTAAATGGAATATTTTTAGGAGTTTTATCCCAAATAAGGCCAACCATCACTTGAGAGCTCTAGATATTTGGGTTGTTTTGTTGAGGCAACAAAACAGTCTCCCAATCCAGAGGGGGGCATTTACCACTCCTGACATTTGGTTACAGTCCTCCATGGGCCAGCAGTGATAATACCATCCTTCAGCTCCCCAGGACAGAAGTCATCCACTCCTGCCACACTGTCCTTGGGGAACTTTCTAACAACCTCTGTGCTCCTTCCCTGCTCCCATGACCATGTCTAATCATGTCTATTCAGATTAAGGATATTTGAAAGAACTTGTTCTACCAGTCAACAATCTGAGGAGTCAGTGTTCCCAAACTAAACACATCCTGCGTCCCGTTGGAGTCGCTTGCCTTGGGACAAGCAAATGTCGATCTCCATAGCCTCCCTGAATTCCTCTCGCACCCAAGTTTTAGTGGGGTTCCGGTAGGGTTAGGGTTTTGGGTCACTTGGTACCTGCCTGTTATTTCAGACGTCCCTGCAAACAAGCAAGCCCTAAAGGACTCCTTCTATCACTTTTGGGGTTAACCAATGGTAGCTCTGGTGACCAAACGGCAAATAAACCAAACCAAAGAACAAAAGAGAAAACTCCTGCTGTGATTTAGCTGTTTTTGCTCACTCTTTAAGCCCGATTGAAGCAGACTCAGAAACCGTCCTGAACAGCGTGCCTCTTGTTCTTGTCTCTATCAGTTTGGTGTGGCTAGCCTTCACCGTGTGCATGGCGGCGGGCGTCTCCACCCTGAACAACTACACCAAGAAGGTCCTGATGGTGGGGCCCAGGAGTAGCTCCAGCCTCAACCCCTGCAGCTTTAACTTCATGGGCCTCCTGCCACCCGCTCCCCACTACACCCCCCCAAACCTGCCCGTCACCCTGTCCGCCCCTCTGCCTGCCCCCGTGATCTCCCACCTGTCTCCCTACTACGAGCCTCCGCCGCCCGCTTCGCCGAGGCTCACCCACTCCCACTCACTTCCCCTGACTCACTCGGACTCCTTCCCTCCTCCCCCGCACCGCCCGGCACCCGCGTCCCCGTTCCACCGCCTCTCCCTGTCCTCCCCGTCTCTCTCGCCTTCCATCTCCGTTCACAGGATGCTTCCGGGACGCGCGGAGCATCCCTTCGATCGGGACGAGGATTACAGCCCGCTTTGAACTCTGCAAAAGTGCATCTCGGCAAATCAGAGTATCGTCAATAACTTGTGAAACGCATCACATTTCAACACTTTTGGCCAAAAAAGACTTGTGTTTAACAAGGATGGTAGGTTAGGTTTTGGTTGAAGACTACAGAGTTGACCAGGAAACAGCCATTAACTCAACAGCAACCTTTCTGTTCACTGAGCACTCTGTCCAAGGATTTTGATGGAAAATTGAGTGGAAGGAAAAAAGTCTGACACAGCGAACCTGAATAAAATCAGCTGCTATTCTTTCAACCCTTTAGAATCCACGTGAAAGTAAATTCGGTCTCCCTGTAAAAATATCGATCAAAAATTTACATCTGTGCAGTTAAACATAATTGATTTGCAATAAGCATACAATTGTAAAGTTTGAAACAACCAGAAAATTTAGATTCTTTTTTTTTATTTATCATTTTTATGTAACTGCTTATGAAGTGTTGAAGGTGCAGACTGGAAAATACAACGAAACTGCAAAATGTAACCGTCCACTTCTATTACAAATTTGATTTAAAAGAAAAATATCTCAAAAATAACTTTTCTGGACATATTTTTGTCCCGCGGTTTTCCACATTTATCCATTTTCTTTCAACATCCAGTCATCATCAGTGAGGACTCAGATGAAAGCAATCCTTTGTTATATGCTGAAGTGTAATTAATGCCATATCAATACAATAAAATAGTAAGTTACCTTGCAGAATTTGAGATTTTAGACAATCATTTTCTTCACGTTTCCTCTCTCCAATCAACTTCTAAAGTTTAGTTCTTTGAAAATTTTTTGGATTTTTTCCCCTTTTCTTCCCAGCTTCATTTTCAGCTTCATTCGTCCTGAAATAAGGGCCGCCTGTCTAAACACAGAACGAATGACCTCGTCTCTGTTTGAACTCAGACGAATGTCTTGGTGTGAACCGTCGATCCTGTTTGTTTGTTTCACTTTTGGGTCAAAATCACTGAACTCCACCAGTCGACGTCCGTCTACAGCGTCGCTGGGGAAGGAAATAAACGACAAGTCACCACTGAATGAAAATGAAAAGTTTTATTATTTCAAAAAAATCACTGTTATGATCATTCATGTAGCAAAAATAAACAACATCAGACACACGGAGCTTTGCTGGGAAGAAATCCTATTTACACATCGTGTCTCAGGCTTCGGGTTGCTTTTGTGGGAAGATTTTAACCGTGTTTCTGCACAAAATTTGGATTTTTCTCAAATTTAGTCTCTCCTATAATTACAAATATCTTTTATTCCAATATCTATAATGTTTTTAGAGGAGCATAAATTAATCTAAGGCCTTTTGGATCATATTAGTTCAGCATTATAAAGTTAGAGAACGTCTTTTATTAGAGAAGACGGAAAAAAATTGATAAACTAACAATAAAGTAATGCAAAAACATCAAAGAAAATAACAAAATACCCTTTTTTAAAAAATCTACTGCAGCATACATATTCATAAATGTAAAAGTACATAAAAAAACTGTACTTGAATATTTATTGATCATCGTTATACTGCTGCCAGTCGAACGCTTTATGATCTCTTTGAAAATAGTGACTTGCGCGACGACAAACTAATCATTAAGTTCGAATTGATCTTAAACCTGAAGGATTTCTCTGTTCAGCTTGAACGACAAAAACAAAAGAACGTATCATTAGATGCCCTGAAGAAAGCCAGCCCGACTCCGGGCTGAAAACACACTGGGATACGGCCGAGTTCGACTCCTGCTTCATTAGTCGAAGGAACCGTCGGAAGGCAGGACTCTGTCAAACGTTAAGTGTATGTGAAAAATATCCACAGGTCTGTTGTGTTTACACTAGCAGCTTAAATTTAATAAAGGAACAAAGAAAACAAACAGGATTGTAGCTGGAGGAGTAGATCTTTTCCAAACAAAAAAACAAACAATGTGGAGTGTGATCCAGTGTCCAACTTGTTCCACGCTACTTCTTGCGTAGCACAAAGTAAACGATGGAGGAGATGAACGTCAAGCCGAAGGCGATCCACGCCAGGATGAAGCTGTGGCCGTAGTTGCCGAGGTTGTGCTGGTCGAAGTGGAAACGGTCCGTGTAGATGGATGCTGCGATCATGATGAACAGGCCTGAGGAGGAGGACGGTGAAGGAGGGAGGGGGAGGGTGGAGAGGGGAAAAAGAAAAAGAAAAGGACGGTGACGTCTCAAACCCGTCGGGAAGCGTTACAGAAATGCTCTTTCCAAGCGTGACTTACAGGCGAGGGCTTGAAAGACGCCAGAGATGGTGAACCTGTTCCCCTTCGGGAGCGTGAAGAGCTGAGCGATGAACACGAAGAGGCCGATGATGGAGAAAATGCAGGCGAGCACGGTGGTGGCCTGCACTGCGTGGAGGTAGTCTGCAGGGGGAGCCAGAGAGAGCAACAGACATCAGCCAGGGCTCAAATAAGGACAGGCGTGTGACATCATCACAGATGATTTTTATTAAAAAAAAAAAAAAAAAACATTTATTTCTTAATTTATTAATTAATTTATTAGAAACATGTATAAAATTTTCAGGTTGATTCCCTTCTTTTGTCCCAAATCTATAAAATATATATAAGTATGTATATTTACACTTTGCAAGTTCAATCAATGGAGGATTATCCTAATTGTAGCACTAATGGTGCTGGTGTTTTGTGTTTTTTCAAACAGGATAAATGTTTCTTTTGATTCCATCTCTCTGTTTTAAAAACAATATCCAAGCATCGCTAATTTGATCAGTCGAGTATTTTACACTTTAAAGAATAGATGAACAAATCCAGTTGAGATACATAAAAAAAAAAAAATCAACACGTGGAACTCGTGTGAGCAAAGTGATGATGCCCGGTTGGGAATCGAGGTGAAACTCATCAGTGTTTTTGGGTGAGCAGGTGATGCTTACTTTGTGGATAGTAGCTTGGGAGATCGGTCAAGTTCCACTTGTTGCCTGTCAACACCCACTGGCCCCACACATCGGTGCTCGTGTTAGAAGTCACCCACCAGGCCTGGAGGGAAGAGCAGCGAAATCAAATCCAATCCTTTGACACAACCCCTTTTGTTACTCCATTACATTAATGGAGGAGTCAGAGTGAAACACTGACAGGAAAAGGAATGAAAGTCCGGAGAGACGACACACAGGAGAACAGACTTAGAGACCTTAAGTTGTTTTGAGATGCTAGAAGTTAACTTCAGGCCCCGCCCACCTTTGAACAAGCTGTTAGCTCAGCTTCAGACAAATCTGGATTTAAGACTCCAATCATATTAACCTGGATATTTAGCAAAACATATATCATCTGCTACGTTTGTATCTCAAATCAGATATTTTTAAAAGCGCTTTACAATGTGCTGAAGCATGTGGAAATCCTGAGATAACTACAAGAATAATTTAAAAAGTCACAACGATAATATAACATCATTTATACACCTCACTCCCCCATCTATCTCATGTGCTTGATTATGCTAATTGCAACGTTATCGCCCCCTACTGGCAAAACACATTTTGGAAGCCAAAACGAAGACCCTCCCTTCAATCCCAGCATGATGCTCAGGAGGGGCGTGGCAGATGTCACGGATGGACATCTGGGAATCGGCGTTGTCTTGTCAGACAGTCAGTTCCCGAATTCATATATTTTTCTTTTTGCGTCTAATTCTCCGTTATGGGAAAGCTATTGAATGCATTTGGTTTCGCTGAGCGACTCCTCTTGAGCGATCTTTGTGACGAGCTACGGCTGAGCAAACCTGCGTGACGCGATTTCCTGTCGAGGCAACACGGAGCCTCCACTTACATTGTCGATGGTCGCCACCAGCAGCAGGATGATGGCTGCGATGTGAAGAACCGAGAGAGCGATGAGAACCAGCATGTTGACCTTCCTGCGGGGACGAACAGAAAGAAAACAGAGTTTTGAAGTTGACAGTGATTGTAGACGTCGACACACTCACTCTAAAAGGTTTCTACTCGATTTCTAACGTGGGTTTTTCAGAGCGAGCCGGTGGGTTCTCGTCAACCAAACTCAGGTTGATGTCTGTCGACGAGGTTCTGCTGGGGGAAGAGGTGGAGGGGGGGTCGGTAAACACAGAAACTGTTGGCAGGGAAGGCCTGGAAGACTTCCTGGTGGGTGGATGAGTATGGGCTTGTCTAATGCTTGAAGGATACCTGCCACTCCCTGAAATAACTGTGGAGTACACGCCCAGTTCTCTCACCAAGATGCTGATCCCTCCACACTCTAACACAATGCAGCCCTGCCTGCCCCCCCAAAAAGGAAAAGGACTAAAAACCGCAGAAGCCATTTTACAAACTGCTTCATGCTTTTGCTGTAAAACTGTAATTACAGTTTTAGTCGCCCGTAAAGAGCCTCGTGTGCACACGAGCCGCGTTTGGGTTAAATCCGGAGCCACGCTGGGGTGGGAGACATCAGAGGTTCTTGGAATGTGCCGGTTCGGTAAAGGAGCGGTCAAGGGTTGGGCCCTCCCAAAAAAAAAAAAAAAAACACATTCTGCATCAGTCACCAGAAAAAATAGGAAAACCTCCTGAAGGCAGGGGGGATGGAGCTGGCAGACATGTAACCAGAACCTGGGCATCGTTTTGACTTTTCCGCCGTCCGTTTCACCGCGGGAAACCACGAGATTCACTTTTTTTTTTTTTTTTGAGCTACCTGTGCCGTTTCAGCTTAAAGCGCTCAGAAGCTTAAAAACAATAAAAAAATATTTTGAGAAATTAAACAAATTATAAAATCGAGCTGAGATTAAAAAAAAAAGAAAAAAGATCCAACTGTTTATTTTCAGAAAGTTTAATGAGGAATATTCGGTTCTTCCAACTTTCACTCAAAAAGGCCAAACTTGTCAAATGTTGCTGGAGGGACTTTAACGTCTGGCCTCCATGTGCTGCTGAGTTTCCTATCCCGGAAGAAAAAAAAAAAAAAAGAATAAATAAAATCTAATTTGCAATTTTAGAAGTTGGAAATTTAAATTGTTCAAATTCACCCACGTTTTCGAGCCAAATTTCAGTTCATCCCACCGTGCCTGGAAAGTTAAGCCAGCAATGAAAGAGTAACAGAGTGGGAAATCAAAAACAGGCTCAGGCTGAGGTGGACAAGCGAGTATCTTTCTCTGAATTTGAATTAAAGCATCCAAAAGCAAACCTTTAGAAGAAAACATCATCAAATGTTTTGCCCTCCTGGACTCGGCCGGGGCCCTGAGAAGCGCCGGGGATAAACTCTGACTTACTGTTAGACGGCTGCGTGTCTCTTCCACGTCCTTTTCCTCCTGCTGTCAATGATCCTAATTCCAAGCTGCGAGTCTAAATGCACAAACATAAGAAACAACTCCTACGCCCACTTACACCCAGCCCCCTTTTACGTCCACACCCAGACAAGCCTCTTGTTTGCCTTTCACACAATCTCTGCCTCCTTCTCCTGTCTGTTCTGCCAATATGTCACTCTCTCTCTTTCTCTCTCTTACTCACACACACACACACACACACACATACACTCACACACACACACACACACACACACAAACCCATGGTAGTAATTTTTTCCCATCTTTGTGTTCATTCTCATGCCTTTGCCAATCAGCTGAAGATGTTGACTTTACTCTCATGAGGGCCGCTGGTGACTCACCGGCCATGTTGAGGGGGGAACTCCTAAAACTGGACGCACGCTGCCATGGCGACAGACTGCCAACCAGCTAAGCATAATCACAATGTCGTTGCCACGGGCGAAACGCACGTGTATATTTAGGCATGCAAACGATGACCCGTGCAGCTTCTTCCTCCCGACGTACAACGTTTTCCCAGGGTGTTTCAGGACGAAGGCATGTCTCTGGTGGCAAGTGGGGGCAGGGGGGCAAACGGGTGCAAGTCGTTGCCTAAGTGAAAACAGAGGAGGAACACGACGGTATGCAAAGGGTGGAGAGGTTGGGAGACATTTCGCACGGCTGTGACATCAGTTGTTATTAGTCATGGTCACCGTTTAATTCTCAGCGATGTGCCTCCAAATGAGCGCGGTGACAGATTGTCATTTTGCCTCTGAGACGCGTTGTACCGTTTAGTTTACAGTGAACTACAAAAGTAAGGCGAGGCTGTAGTTTATTTGGTGTCTCATTTGTACTCTGGAGGCGTGTCATCATCGGCATAACGAGGCATTTCTCAGCGTTTTTTAGAGGTGGTGTCGAGCATTTGCGGACTTGTGGTTCCCTAAACATCCAACTGGAGCACGGCTGAGCTTCCCAGATCTAAGTTGGGTATTTTGAGAGACTGGGACGTAGCAATAAGCAGCTACCAGCACTTGTTTCCTGTCTAATGTCGACTGTCACAATGTTGTTCTTGAATTCATATCTACATTGAACGCAGTCGATACCAGAAATTCTTGTGTCATGAAAAGGCAGCCCGAGTCCAATCAATAAGTTCTTTTGAGAATCCTGGGTTTGAAAAAGGGAATATTTGTGTTTTAGAACCGGCCGACCAGTTTCAGGCTTAAATGTAATTGGGAATGTAGAGCAAAACTGGAATATGGATGTCAACAGATGTTCTCCAGGAAGTCCAAGTGACCCGGAGACATTTTCCAAATCTGAACAGTCGAAACGTTCAACTCTGTAGATGTGCGATGGCACTTTGTATTGGTAAAAGAAAAAAAAATCCCAGAAATTTGTGGTTGTACTTTTGCAAGAAACAGAACACTGAGGGGGAAACTCCTTGAACTGCAGTAAACCTTCTGTTCATTCAAAAAAAAAAGTCAAACGGAAAAGTAATAAAAACAAACATCTCCTTGTTCATTGTCAGCCTGCAGCGTCGTGAGCAGATTCCTGCGTTTCAAATCCGACTCAACCGAGGAGGGCAAAACATTTACCTCCCACCATTCTTTCTACCCACAAATCTTTGCAAAAGACGGGGAAGAAGTTGGAGGTTCTCTGGTAGGTTTTGGCCCAAATAGGGAGAACAGAACTCAAAACTCTCACTGCAAACACAAAGCGATGGCAGTATCATGCTGTGGGAACACACTTCTTCAGCAGGGACTGACAGGTCTGGTTGGTAGTAGATAGGAAGGTAGATGGAGATAAATTTCTGACGATCCTGTTGGTGGTTTTCCTTCCATCAGACCAAAATGCTACTCATGTGTTAGAATGGTCTAGTCAAAGTCCAGACCTAAATTTTTATGCAAATCTTTAGAAAGACTTGGAAACGTCTGTCTTTCAGTTAAATGAACTCAAGCTCTTTAGTTTTAATTAAGTCCCAACAAAAAATGATGATAAATTACACTGTGAGAACATGTAGTTGTGTTTACTAACTTCTAATGTTTAAGTCAAAAAAATATTGCAGGTTTTAGATTCTGAACTCAATTCTGTGACTTTTGAAAGACAAACTTACAGCTGTAAGTTGTGTTCACTTTTTCTTCATTTTGCCATACCTCCAAAAGTTGAGCAAGCTCAGGTTTTTAAGTCGGCATTAAAAAAAAAAAAAACTGAATGAGGGAGTGGGAACTATTTCCCAGAGTGCTTTGCGTCATGTGTTTGTATCTTGTGCTGTGAGTGAGATGGATGTGTGTTAAATCGACCCGCCTCTTGTGTGTCATCAAGGCAGATGTGGTTCAATCTAACTAAAATTTAACAAAATGCATTTTAGACATTTTTCTTCCAACTTACAATCAATAATCAATCTTAACTCGAAAAGGTAAGTCAGAATAATGCAGAAATATATCACGGTGACCCACATTTGAAGATTAATGCACCATCAGAACCAAAAACAAACACACAACAGAACCAAAACAACGTTTAGACTAATTGTTTTTTGCTGAATCATTTTTGATGAACTTTTAATTCAGAACAATTATCCCATTGACTTTACTTTCATCTCCAACCTTCATTCTCAAACTAAATCCACCTTCGGATATTTTACAGCGCACTTCTTAAAGATCTGTGCCGGTTTGGGCCGGAAACGTCAACTCAGCGATGGAGGCGTAACACACAGTTCGGCCTGGAGGCGCCTTGAATGGAAACTGCAAGTTTAAATCCAGTTTGTAGGTAACTCCGAGTTCAATGAGAAGTGGGCTGCGGCGGCACGCGCATCAGGAACAGTTTGTTAATTTTCATATGCAAAACATCTGAAAAAGAATTTTTTTTAAAACTTGGGACACACTGAGAGTCTGAGCTCATCGTGAGGGGAATATTCCACCAACTGGACCCTTGGGTCAGGAGAAAACACGCAGCCGGTTCAGACTTCAGACGGCTGCCCGTGTGGCTGCATTCTGACCGGGTCGGAGGTCAAAATGCGGAAGCCTTGAGAGTGATTACATAACAAAGTAGGAGTGACACGAACTGGAACGGATCATTCTGTATTCCAGACGCCACACCTTCAAACAGTCCTTTCAACATGCCAGCTTCGTTTTATGGGAGGTAATTTTGAAGATGCGGGGCCTGGAAAACCTCAGACAAACACACCAAACCGAGATGAGTAACCCGGCCTCTGATGCATGGAAATAACACGCGTCCCACTTCGCAACGTGACTCAAGATGGAGTTGGGGGGGAGGGGGAGGCCGGGAGGAGAAAAATAACCAAATAACTATGCAGTGAGGCATCCTGAGACCCAAACCGCTTCCAGGATGCGATGTGAGACGGGTGGCGGAGGATTGAGGATAAAGAGGATAGACCAGAATGCGGTTGGACCTGCTCGCGTTCTGGGTGTGGGCTACCCCACCCTGCAGGTGAGATGAGGCAAGGTTAGCATCGTTCACTGAAGGAGAAATGCGCCACTCCCTGCAGCAAACAGTATGCGCAGAGAGCGTCTGAATAGTAAAAAAAAAAAAAAAAAACCCAAAGGGAAATGCCTGCGGAACGGCAACAACAACAAAAAAACGAAGTAAAGAATGTTCCGTTTTAGCTTTTCTTCAAATCTTAGTTTATTTTAAGAAGAGGAAACGCCATGAGTCACACATCAGTCAGCTACGATTTAGTTTCTTTCGCTTTTTTTTTTTTCTTTTTTAGAGTGGAAACCTATTGGATGTTGAGCCACGCCACGGCAAAGAAAGCGGGGAAGGAGTTTGGTCACAACATGTCTTTAAAATCCCAACAGAAGAATCGGACCAATCACGTGCCTGTGAAAGCCCTGGAGGAAGACCCAATAGGAGAGGCCTGTGGATCAGTTACCTGAAAAACCAGAGCGGTGATGAAGTTTGACTGTTATAACCCCCTGAACTCACTTTATCTCACAACTTCATTGTATTTAATGGCTATTTTATGCCAGACTAACTTGAAATATTGCATTTTTATTATTTTTTTTTTTACAAAGCCACAAGTCTTTGTTTTGGCTCGTATTTTCGACAGTAGGCAGACAGGAAAGAGGGCGAGGAGACGGGGGGAAGACACGAGGCAAAGGTCGCCGGGACTAGGAGTCGAACCCGTGACGTCTGCGTCAAGGACTGAGGCCTCCAAACGTGGGGCGTGCAAACCGCTGCGCCACCACAGCACACCCCACAAAGTCTAAACCGACTATAGTAAATAGTAGTAAAGTTATAGTAAATCACTGAAAAATAAAGCAATTAAAATGAAACATTTTGGATTTAGCATGGCGTTTAGAATAGCGTTAAAGGAATTATCACTTTTCATTGCATGTGATTTTCTTACAACAACTGAATTGACGCCCTTTTTGTGATTTAAAATGCCACAGGTTTTTATTCTCGGCTTTCGAGCCTTGCTGCAGATTTTCAGAAGGAGTTGCAGAATACAAAGGCACGCCGTACTTATCAGATCCCTATTTGCAAAAAACAAATTAAAAGGCATAAATCGTGTCGGTCAACCGCATAAAACAACAACACAGATGTATATATATATATTTTTTTTTTTTTTGTGGTTGCAAAGTGACAGAATGTGGGATAGAGGTGTGGAAACTTTGCCAAGGCTTTGTATGCTGTCCCAGCTGACAGCAGCTGCGTTAAAAATGACTTCTCCTCGCCGGGTGGAAGGACCAGGTTTGGTTTTAAACCCGCCGTCAGAGAGCTGGATTTGCTTTTCAAACAACAACCTACCCCGCACTTTGGCACTTTAACATTTTTACTTTATTTTACACAGTGACTTAAGAGGTGGCCGCTTTCGAACAAGGACTCCACTGTCATGCCGTGGAGTCAGCTGAGTCACGCATTAGCAAATTAGCGGCCGTCTGTTTGTCTCACTGTTAAATCATCCTGAGACGTGTGAGTCATTTGATGTGAAACAAACACAGCGCTCCGCTCCGTGTGGTTGAGTGGTGCCCAAATCCCCTTCACCCCCCAAAAGGAAAGGTGTGTAAGAGAGGAGTCTGCAGAATTTCAAAACAAAAGACAGAAGCCGCCCCGACCGCCGCCAAGTCTCTGCTGGCCTTCTCTCTTTTTGCACAATCGCAGTCTGTGGTCGGCCGTCTCATTCCTCTGCCGTTTTGCACAACGTCGTACCCTGCCCTGAGATTTCTTCACTTTTTTTTTTTTTTTAAAGAAAACAGCCCTCAGGCTCATTTACAGGACTTACAGGGAGGAGGGATTGTAGGTGAAATACTTCTCTGAATGAGGCAGATCACACAAAAGGAGGGAAGGTAAGAGTTAGTGTTGCAACTCCCACCTGACCTGAGGCTGTTGAGCAACTAAAAAAAACAAAAACATCAGGCTTTTTCCTCATGGCGTCACCAGGCTGATAAACGTCTTGATGGTTCACAAACATCTTTAAAAAAAAGAAAAATACCTTAGTTTTTTTTCAACTTTTATCTCTTTATCTGTGAACTACTGTATTTCATGGATTTCTTGTCACGTAGACACAAAACAGTGCGTGATTACAACAAAACAACAACATAGCAATCTGAAAAGTGTGGCGTGCATTTGCATTCAGCCCCAGTGAGACTGAGGAGCACAACTGTCTCCACTTCTTTGAGAAATAGTCCAAGTGCTATAAGAATTTTTAAAAACTCATCCATGTGTTTTCTAGTAACAGTTTACTGTTATTCGGTGTCAGAAATCTCTTAATACTGACATCACAATCAGCGGGGCGTGCCCCTCGCCTAGCAACCCAAACAGAGCTCCGCCCACTTCGACACCAGAACACGAGTGCGTTTGGTCAGCTGGTTTTTATTACGGACTGGAAGGAACAACATGTAACTTCAGGGTTGCACAGTTGCTCATTAGTTTAAGGTTCTTTTCACATGTGTAACATGTTGGTGAACAGTTCCGGGCCGTCGCCAGGAGCAGCTCATTTGCATAAAAGTGACAGAGTCCTAAACCAGAGAGCTAAAGATGGGCAGAACAGAGTCTATTTCGTGAAAGAAATGTAGTTAACATCTTTTGTGTATCCCACAGACTTATTCTGACTTCTTACTAACAGATCTCCTTTCAGTTCTGGGCTTTGACTGGGCCATTCTAACATTTTACTATAATGTGATCTGAACTATTCCACTGTAGTTCTGGCTGGATGTTTAGGATTGTTGTATTTTATAATTACTTCAGATATTTTTTAGGGGTTTAAGACAAATGCTGAATGCAAATGCACATCCTATTTTATTTACTATACTTTATTTATTTTCTATGTGGTCACTTTAAAAAAGAAAAAAATCCACCATATCAGCTTTATCTTCTCTGGACAAGTCACCATAGATATCGAAGAAAAACACAAACTTCACAGTTTCCATTCCTTATTTTCTTTGTTTCCGTTGCTTAGCAGTGCGGTTCTTACCAGCTTCCTATTCCTAGACAATGGATGCATATTTTCGCATTCTACGCCTCACGCTGCTCAACAGGAAGGGAGTCATTTCTCACTCCCAACCAGCCGGGGATTATTGAGCTGTGGCTCCGGTGCAGGTACAAACACACTGCTAACCGCTGGACCTGCACGGCACAACCCGCGCGGCGAAGCAGCCTTTCCCCCCCCCCACACCTCTAATGAGCTCATGCCTGTGAAGGTAACAGCAGATCACCAAGTCTTTCTTAAAGGTTTATCACCTAAAATAAAAGGGCTTCTAGTCGCATCAAGGGATGGAGTGACGGAGTGTGTGGGTTGATGACGGGTTTAAGGAGATTCTTAATATAGTGCAGTCAGGTTAGATCCTGAAATGAGAACCATAAGATGCTGGTTTCTTAGTAAACACTAAAATACTTGTGTTTTTTTTGTTTTGTTTGTTTGTTTTTTTAAGAATAAAAGTGAAGTGCTGCCATATTTAAACTGGTGACCAATATTTCTCCCCAGTTTGATGATCTGGACCATTTAAATGTAACAAAAGAGCTAAAATAAAACTTTCTCACTTTTTCCGAGCATTGTGTCTGGATGCTCTGTGATGGAAAATGTGCTTAGATATTTTCTACTCTTACTTTTTCTACTCCGTTTATGAGTGAAATGAAACGAGTAAATACCGGCTTAGAGCCAAACGAAGAGAGCATGCCAGGCAAGCGACTAATAAAACCTGCCAGGGCTCAGTTTTACGCATTTGTAAAGTGGAAACTACTTTTATTGTACAGTAGACATTTCTAGCGATTTGCTAAAGGTTAAATATCATCTGAGCCACAGTTTTCTCTCAACAACTGTTTCCTCGTGCGTTTAGCCGAGCTAGCATGTTTCCACGATCACAAACTGCAGAGGTTTCAGTCACTTGGACATTTTTTTCCCCTTCAAATCACAGCATCTTACTCCACTGCCTTCCTCATGACATCACTTCCTGTCGTTGCAAAGCATTTCTGCTTCCTGCTGCTCCCAGTACAGTGACACCCATTCCTTTTTTTTTTATTTCTATTTCATCCAGCTCTCTCTCACACACACACACAAAGCCTTCCTCTCTCAATGAAAACCAGACACACACACACACACACACACACGCCGTCCTCACACTCCGAGCCAAAAGAAAACAACTCCCGTCCGTAGCTAGGCAACTCCAAACATGAGTCATCCCGCCACCGCGCCCTTCATCAACGGATCGGCCGCCCGCCTCTTCTGTTTCAGAGGTTCTGTTTCAAAAGCGACGCTGAGAAGAATTCGACTATAGTGACCGGGCGCCTGCGTGTTTCATCTGGCAGAGCGAAGGGAGCTCGTGAAGACGGACATGCATACCAGGACGGTGTCACTTATTATTCTGGTCCTTCACATCGTTAAAAAAAAAAAAAAACTGAATGAAGAAGTTGTAAGATGAAATTTATGATAATGGTTGCGAGTTAGAATTGCATTTTATGTGTAAGCAGTGAAATAAAAGCTAAACGTTCTCTGCGGAGTTTTTGGGAAGAATTTACTGGCTCTGTCTGAAAAGTCACGGGAATTATTTATATAAAGGGCAAAGGTCAGTTGATTAGAATCCCTTCACTGTCGTCATGTCAGTAATCTAATGTGGCGCACTGTCGCCCTCTAGTGGAGGAAGCTGTTCGGTGAGGAGGTCATGTAGGGCAGCACAAAGGGAGCTGGAAATAACCAACATTTTCTAACCGATCCAATAAATATTGAGATATAAAAAAGCAATAAAACATTTTTATATTTTATTTTTAACCCAGACAGAAAAACAATTATTGGTTAAAATAACTACATTTCCGCCACGCTTTTGAGATTGTTTCTAAAAAAAAAAAAGTTCTGAAAATCACGTATGCATCTTTTAGTGTTGCTCTATAAAAAATATCGAATGTACCAAAGTTTCTGGATGCAATGTTGGCAATACAGCAGTGTAGATTGTTGTTTTACTCCTTTGCAATTAAATAGCTCTTTAAGATGCCAGTCTGAGTCTATGGGAGTAATAAAGTTGTCAAATGTTATGAATGCTGCTTTGAGATTTATGACGTTATAAAAGTGCCATTTAAAACCATTTTTCCTCCAACGCTCAACTTTGTGTTTGGACGCAGCCATCTAGGAACAGCCAACTTCTTTAGTAATGGCCTTTGGCAGCTTATCCTTCTTATGCCAGGAGTCTTAAGAAAACACACTGCAAGCTTAGATGTATTTATTTGTATTAATATCATGTAATCCTCTAATTATCTGAGAAACTGAATTTGACAATTTTAGCCATTGGGAGCCACAATAAGCAAAATGGACATAAACTGTGTCACTGTGTGTGGAGAATCTATGTGATTCTGCTGAATTAATTAAATACATCCGCCTCTTCGTTACGTCATGCGCGCTAGCCCAGAGCCTAGCGCGCATGCGCAATTAATTTGTGCCAATTAGTGAGAAGGTGTGTTAGCAGGATGTCTACAAATCAAACAGCTGCTCTTCACTCGGTCCTGGTGAGTTGGAGCAAAGAGGAAGACAAAAAAAAATCGTATCTGCAATGAATTTGAAACTGGAGATGTACTGCTTGGGTGTTCCACTTTTCTACACCTTATTGACTCTAAACCTGTCTTCATTAGCCCGGTGTGAGCGCGCGGAGGTCCAGCCAACCTCTGGTCCGGCTCTTCATCATGTCCGGTCAAAGCGGGGAACTGGAGCCAAGATGGCGTCGTCTTCACGTTTCGCAGCCCGCTACAAACGCTGGCAGACGGAGGGAGAGAGGCCGTTCGCTTCTCTCGAGGTTCTGGACGGGAACTGCAGCAGTGGAGCCGTGAGGCGCGTCGTCCCCGGGACGTTTTCCGTCCCCGGTCAGCTGGAGGGAAACCCCCGACACGGTGAGAATATATGCGACGTTTATTTATTTATTTTTAATCAGCAGGGCCGGATGTAGAAGGGTAGGGCCCCCTGGGCTACAGCCATATTGGGGCCCTGCTCACACAAGGGCCTGTCTCAAACTGTTTGCTGTAAACTGAGGGTTTTAAGCTGTGTGCACATCAAAACTGAGGTTTTCCATAAGAAAACTTCTCACAAACATGCAATGTTTCTAAAAACACCTAATGAGTCGGTTTGTTTGGCTTGTTTGTGGCACTGAAGTGTAATCCTTGGAAATGCACCATTAACATGAGACATCAATGGAACATTCACTGAAGAATTAAATTCAGGATTGGGCGTTTAAATACGGGTTTCTGACAGTGCTGAAAGTATACATTTTTGCTTTAATCAGTTTCCGTGTTTTGCGTATCCCAGTCCAGAGCGGAGCCGGTCAGCATGCTGGCGGCTCTGAGAGCTGGCGGAAGCTGAAGCCGTCAGTGGAGTGTGGAGACGACGCCATGACACTGACTGTGAGGAGGAAACGAGCCATACAGCTGCTGCTGGACCAAGGTGAGGCTCGATCTTCACCCAACCCCTCATCTTTAATGGGTTCCGTTTAATTTTTCCACTAGAAGTCGAGTTGGACAGAGGAGATGTTGAGGAAAAACTGTTTGAGAGCTGCGGCATTATGTCTGCTCATATGGAAAGCTGTGCAGATAAATATTTCTCATTGTATCCAGGCACTAATATTAATTTAAAAAAAAGTCACAAACAAGCATCAGATCTACGGGGAAACATTTTCCTTTTCCGTTCCCTTGCAATAAGTTTAGCATTCCTTATTAATGAGCTATTTTGTGTAAAAATGTTAATTTACATTTCATACACATTTCAAGAGCCTCAGTGTTTATTATTAACTCTTTGATCCAAAAAATTGAAACTCAATTCATTCACTGTCTGTCTGTAGAGCTGAGATTGAACTGCATATGGAAGCATCTCTTTAAACCATTCAGACCAACACAAAAGAGACGCAATCAAAACTCAGATTGCTCATTACCCAGTGATGATCACTCAGAAATAGCCCAAATAGTTTGGATGTATTTTTTATCTTTCTTTCTTACTTGTGAAAAGTTTGTTTATTTTTGGTTTGGTTTGCATTTCTGTCCTAAAGAAAAATAGATTTCATGCGATATTAACGTAAAACCCTTATAGCAGAAAGTACAATGGCCACCGTAAGAAAGTTTTTCAGTCTGAAATTATGAACTGATCAGTACATTGTTGCAAGGAATGCAAAAAAAAAACAACAAAAAATCCTCCATAGGGGCCTCTTTAGAGATATTTCAGTATTTTGATAAATTTAGTTCACCGATTTTGATGGAAATGAACAAACGTATGATGTGGTAAGGAAGGAGCCGCCACTGGGGGCAGCATAACCTGACCTCTGCTGTTCCTATTAAAGTAGAGTAATATTCCAAGCTTCCTGAAGATCTGAAAGGGTTTTGTTGGTTAAAAATGAGGTGAAAATGCCTGTTTAATCTCATCTTTCTGTATGGCTAAACCATTCAGGCATTAAGGTGGATTATTTCTATAAAGGGCTGACAAATTGTTACAAATATCAGTTTCAAGATAGCTTTTCTTTAAACTTTGTGGCAGAAATGTCGTTTTTCCAGATTTCGTTACCAGGATATTTGATGCCAAACATTAACATTAGCAGGAATAAATCCACAGCTAAACTACCGCCACAACTTCCTGGAGATGACCTTTATTCACCGGGCTCTGCCGCAGCAGGACGTTGGTGACCTCTGAAGTGAAATTGAGCCGCAGAAGACTAAAATGTTCCTATCTCACAAATGTTTGATTATTTTCTCTGGTTTATTGCCTTTCTGCCAGTGCAAGTTGAGCATCAAGTAAAAAAATTAAGTTAAGCAGGGATATTAAGGCCTTTATTTGTTTCAAACAAAAGTCTTATATTAATTGTATACAAGGTTTGACCTCTGCTTAATGCTGTCTAGATCTTAACTTGGAATGAAATAGATTCACTTTGCTTTTTGCAAAGTGAAAATATAGTGTCCAAACATACTGGTACACCAGTAAAACACCCTGCTCTTCATTGCTGTTTGATTTGTTGTCGCCATTGATTTTGTGATAACCGCTTGCAGCTTTTAGAAAGACTTTCGTGTAGCCGAAGGGCGCAACAGCTGTTAAGATGAAGCTTAGACTTGCATTATCTCTAATTTATTGCATTTGGATAGAGTTGTTGCTTGTACCTGCTTTGTGAGCCAAATGAGTTCTTAAAAAGTATTTCCTGGCTACGTGAAGGATCACATTTCCAGTTTTGGAAATCAAATTAGTAACTAGAAAGTTGAGTTTAACCAAACGCGCTTGGATTGTAGTTTTTCTTGATTGCTTTAACTATAACAATCAGTCTGCAGGCCTTATGTTGTCATTCACCACAATCTATGAAAGGGATCAAGATGAGTCGGTACTGCACATTTGTGATTCTTTGAATTTATTTTGTTTTATTTAAATGTTTATGCATCAGTGCACTTCTGATTCTGGATCCAGGTCCTTGTGAGATGAACATGAACACAACCCATGTAGTAAGATGACGTGGCACTGGGATGGATCTATATAAAGGGCTACAATGACAAGCTGAGGACTTTATTGTGGTTGAGCAGTTATTGAGAGGAATGGTTCATCCATTTGGTTGCAAGCTGTGTTGTTTTAGGGTAATGTTTGTTTTTTGTTTCATATTTTAAATGTTTTGCCACAGTTGGTCCCCTTTCTAACAAAATGTATCAATTTTACCATGATGATGCTTCTGTAACCATTTTGAAAATGTTTGAGTCAACAGCTGACTGAAAGACATCCAGAAAAACCAGGGGCCCCGAAGTGGGTCCTGGAGGGCCGACATCCTGCCTGTTTTATTTCTCTCCTTGGTGGTAGGGGCAACCTTTTCAGCATGTTGATGTTCTTCTTAGGCCTCTAACGAGCCATCGTTTGATTCATGTGCGTTAAAATCAGGGACAAAACTACAACATGCAGGGTGCGGGCCCTCGAAGACCCACTTTGGGGACCCCTGCAAAAAACGTGAGAGTTTGTCTTCATTAATTTGAATTATGTTGCAGTGAACGGCTCGTCGATGCCCCTGCTCCATCTGCCTCAGCAGTGTGGCTACTCCATTCGAAGCTCCTGGAAAGACCTCACTCTGATGGCTCAGTATGACGCCTGCCACATCGTTCGAGAGGTGTGCTCTTGTTTTTTAATTCCTACATGAATCACATCATCCCATGTATTTTAGAGTTATTAAACCAAAACTTTGACTTCACTGTTTTTAGCAGAAATGACTGAGGGGCTGGAGTCTTTCTCTGATTCATTAACTGCTAATTCTTCTCAAATGAGTGTGAAATCCTGTTTTTGGACATATTATTAAAATGCTGCTTCCTGTCAGGACGATGGCGGCTATGTGTTGCCTCTGCTGTGGAGGGGGATTCCCGTCAAGGTCTCCTGCCCGGTCTCCCAGCTCCGCCTTCAAGGCGAGGGGCCGTCCTCGCTCTGCTGCTCCCCCAACGGCATGACGGTGAAACTGAGAGGATCGTCTGCTGTGGAGAACCCTCATATAAACGGTACTGTTCCTTTAAGAATCAGGAAGCGCTCACAGACGGCATCATCTTTCATGATAATATCAGGTTACCCGTCTGCCCCACTGCAGTTCAGGGTGAATGGACTCCTCTGGGGCTGTTGGCTGAACAGTGTGGTTATACTGTGACCAGACTGGCTGCAGAGACGGTCGTCGCCGTGCCATTCCTCACTTGTGGTGTAACAGTAAAGGTAAAATAAAAAAATTAAATAAAAAAAAACAGAGTTTAGCAGTCAGTCTCTCCAGTTTTTTTGCAAATTCTTGATGACAAAAATCAACAGATGCCATCATTTAAATGCAAACTTTCTACAACAATAGTGAAGCATTGGATTTAAGTGACTAGCTCCCACCTGGAGGTGGCAGTATTTAATTTTGAAATGTATCCAAAAAGTATTTACAGAATGATGCATAATATCAAAACTCAAAGTATTAATTACTTTACTGTGGTAATTTGGCAGTAGCAGGAATAATTGTTGCTTTGTGACAAAACTGAACCTTCTTTATTTTTTAATCTGCAATAAATTCTCTTTCAGAATGGAAAAAACACACTTCTGCTTAAATTAGGAGAGGACATTTTCATGTTGGCTTGTCCTGCTTTTGGAGAAGTGTCAGCTGCCCATCGGCCTCTGGCTGACAGCCCCCCTGATTTCACCAGAAAGCTGCCAAAACCAAAGCTTGACTCCTTCAGGCATTTACTGTTTATGCCGCCTTTCTACTTGGCTCCACCTTATCATCCTCACCCAACATATCACCGTAGTTACTCTGAAAATGAAGAACAGGACAGCCAGAGTCCTCCTCCTCTTTCTGTGGCTCCGATGGCTGACTTTAGTTCCCAGCTGAACTCTCAAGACCTTTACTTTCTGTCTCTTAAAGATGCACATAAAAACTTTGGTACCCAAAAGCCTCTTTCATCTGAAGAAAAGTTGGCTAGTTTGGGTTCATTGCATAACGACCAAAAGCAGAATCGAGAAGCTCCTCTCTTGGATGTCTCAACGGATAGTTTCTCCCCTACAGCCCTGCCGGTTCAGGTGGCAGCTCCTCATTTCCACCATCACAGCCGTGATTTTAGCTCCCATTACCACGACTACCATCATCCAAAGTTCCCTGTTCCTGGCACACCTCAGGGCTCAGGTCCGGGTCTTCCTGGATCACAAACCTCTTCCGATTCTCCGAACCATCAACCTCCATCCGAGCAGTTTGAGAGTCTGAAAGAGGGACCGACCCGGATTTCTTCACCTGCAGTGACAGCAGTTCATGCGCCTTACTTTACTCATCCGTTTCCTTTCTACTATTACTACCCACATGTTGCAAAGGGTGACAGGAAGAGACTGGGGCTTTTCCATCCAGATTGGACTGCAAAAACAAACATGTCTTTAGTACCCTTAAATCCTGAAACGCAGAGTATTAACCCTGAGCCAGAGAAGGAGAAATCCGATTTTCAGCCCAGTTCAAAACCAAAGCTACAAGACAAAGACAAACATTCAATCTTCGTGTCTCCAGATCCCATCGCAGCTCCTCCTGACAGACCAGTGTTCCCCACTCCAGGATTCACATATAACGCAGATCCCGACAAGTACTACTATCATCCGTACTATAACTACTACCTGAAGTATTACACACCAGAAGCGTTGCGTGGCGTCTACAGCCATCTGGGTCAAGCTTTGCCAGAATCCTTGTCAGTACAACAACCTTCCCACTTAAGATATCAACCCGAACCTCGACCCTCTGAACCAGGGTACCACATTCCCAGCAGACTGATGTTCCCCTACGATGATTACTATCACTACTACCTGCCTCAGCTGATCAGATACGACCAGCAGCTCCATCTTCCAGGAGGTAAAGACTCTACACCTCTGCTTTCCCCAAATGTGGATTACAGTGACCTGCAGAGGTTTCCTCATTCTTCTGAGGACCGTCGTTCCAGCACCTTCAATCCAGCTTATGCAAACTATATTGCTTGGCACCGCAGTGGGTTTAATAAGAAGCTGAGTGACTACGTGAGAGGTAAATGATTTCATTAGGAGTTGTTTGTTTTTATGCTTAAAATTCTTGGGGGTTTTTGTTTTTTTTTATTTTGTAGCAGTAGCATTCTGCAGAGATGTGCTGAGGAATCAGTTTGACTGAATCAGGAAGTGCACCATGCATGCAAACAGGAAGTGTTTTCTCGGTCTTGGTTCGGTTGACGTGAACTCTGGTGCATGTAAGAGAAATCCTGCAACCACTAAAATCTCACTCCTCTCCAGTTTACATTTTGTGAAGAAGTAAGTTGTGCTCATGTTCAGACGTTTTTGTGTCATTTTGCTCAGTACTTGGTTCAGCGCCGCCACAGGTCAGGAGGGGAACAGCCTTTTCAAGTTTTATTGGTGTGAAGATGCACATAAAATAAAAAGGTCATATGATGCTTTGAAATTAATTGCTGCTGCTGCTAGTCTGGAGGGAACTGAAGCTCTGAGGCGGAGCGTTGGGCAAATGAGCGGTGCAGTTTATGAGCAACCCTGAACAGTCGCCATGGAAAATGAAAGGATTTCTGAAACCTGTATAAATGGATCAAAACAGCGCTCAGGTATGTTTTCAATGAGAGAATATAAAGCTAAACAAAAAAGTCTGTCCAAAAACATAAAAATTTGACCATGTGAACATGTTTGTCCTGAAGCGTTAAGGCATCATATGTAGCTGTTACTCGTCCCGTAAGGATTTATGAGGATGTTTTTATCAAAGCAGACAAAATGAATCGAGTAAAATCATTCCTGTTTCCATTCGCCCTTTCCTTCCCCTTCCATATGTGATCAGAGGATGACTAATCCAAACCTCCCGCTCCACCCTGCTGCCTTGGACCCGTTTCACAGATTTACTGCTTTTGGCCTCCGTTCACACAGTTCACCTCTGTCTTTGAAATTAAAAAAACAAAAAAAACTTGTTGGTACTTGTCCTAGAAACCAAACGCTGAGTTAGATCGAGGGTTGTTTCAAACACAAATGCTGAAGTTAATTTGTAATTAGTCTGTACTTTGAGGCGCCACGCTAAGCTACGTCACAGGTATGACCTTTCTGTGTATTGGAGTCAACAGATGGCCTGGTGGGGCTGCTTTTTTTTTGTCTCTTTGTTGTGCCTGACTCTTTGTTGAATCCCTCAGCCACCCTACCTTCTCCCTCCTCTGAGGACAGGAAGGCTCCCTGCATGCTGCAGAAGCTTTCCGCAGATCCAGACGTCTACGTTGCTCCCCTAGACGGCTGCAAACATGTAAGAAACACTTCTGTTGATCTTGAATTCATTCATAAATTGCTAATTTTGATTTTTTTTAAAAATTAGCAGACCTGCAGCTCCACCAGGTTTTTAATTGCTGCTGCTGCTAGTCTGGAGGGAACTGAACCTCTGAGGCGGAGCTTCAGTACCCATCTACGCCCATCTGTTGGCGTAGATGGGTAGCTTGGAGTTGATGAAAATCAGTATTGCGTACGAGCAGTAAAACAGGATTAATAAAAGAAAAATGTCTGGCTTATGCAATCAGAGAAGAATGCTGACTTGGCATTTGTCCCCTATACAGCTGGATAATGGGAGTAAGGGAGGGATGCTACAATAAGTCAGCATTGAAGAAGACGGTGGTTCAGAGTGCTTTGTCCATGCAGGTTAAATTGAGTGGAAGGAAAAAGTGTGGTTCAGGAAATGTGCACAAGCAATAGGGGACACTGAACTTGACCACCAGAAATGAAAATGTTAGATTTTTTTATTTATTTCCAGGTTAAACAATGGCTAAACAAATGTGAACACTGGTTTAAACCGCACTACTTTGTTGTGGAGAATTAGTTCTCGATGTATTGTCATGAATGTTGCGTGACAAGGATTCTGTATATTTGATGGGAATCTTGTAATTTAAAAATAAAATTCCAGTCAAGGACTGGGTTTGCAAATTAGCCTGGCTTGAAAACCCATGTACGAAATGATCGCTTTGTTTTTAATATACAACTCAAACGGTTAAAGTAAATTAAATAAGCCTGAATCGCACAGTAGGTGGAGTCTGTGCTTCACATGGTTGCTTTCCTTGTATTGAGCCTCTCCAGAGGAACTGAAATGGGTAAAATACAAGAAAGGAAAAATCTCATTAATCTGAGTTTACCTTTAGAAATAAACAACCATTTTCATGTTGGTCTAATTTCAGGTGCATTGACCACAGGATGGGCTGGGAAACTGGAATTTTGTGTCTTAGAGATTCAGCCTCAAACTTTAAAACTGATTTCCCATCTGAGCCCAAACTTGACACCAGACACATGATGAAATATTTTACTTATTTTTTTTGCTCTTTTTTTAGATGCCTGGTCAGAGGATGGTCCGTCACGGTCTCCTAACGGACAGAGGTTTCTTCCCTGTAAGGTTAGCAGTTGCTCTCTAAGTGCATCTTGGGTTGAATAGTTGATTCTGTTCTGAGGAATATCACCTTTTCCTTCAGTCAGGTTGCTTTAGGTTTCTTTTTGCATAGCAAATAATCCTTTACTGTTGCATATTTTGACCACATCCTGCTGGAATGCTTCGTGGGAGAAACTTCTGATGACATAAAAATGGCTTTATTATTTATTCCAAGCCAGGAAAAACAGGTGCAGTCTAATATGTAATCTCATTACACTTGGTGGGAAGAAAAGCATAATATGGTGTAATACAAAAAGAAAAATGAAACGATTTCATTTGGAAAGGATCGTCTTACTGCTCTTTCCTTAATAGACGGCTGCAGGCACACATTATGGAAACCTAAAGGTTTGCATTTGTTAATTTTGTCACTGTGACGTAGGATGACGTTAGCTAAAGCATTAGCATGTGACCAGACGTTTTCTCCCTGGTGAACTTTGTCCTCCTGCAGGTTGACGGTGGGATGCGGCGCCCCCTCTGATCCAGGTGAGGCCAGGCCGTCCGCTGAGCCGCCGCCTGCTGTCGTTCTGAGGATAGCAACCGGTGAGGCCTCCACTTTTGTCTGACTCATGAAAAGTCCCATCACTGCTCATGCACATCTTGACTGTTTTGCTTTGTAATAAAAATCACACAATCTTTTGCTGTTCTCACATTGCTGAGGTAGCATTTTAATACCTGAGGTAGAGTTGGGATTTTCAGATTAGCTTTTTATTTTAGTAAATTTGCATTCCATAAAGAAAACTAAATAAAAAATCTATTTTACAAACCAATAATTTACCAAAAACAATGAATAGGCTACCCAATCATAGACCAAGTGAATAATGAAAGATATTTACCATCGATATACACATGAATTGCACTTAAATATGAATGTTTGTTACATATATTGTTACATACACATGACATGACGGTGTAAAAGCCTTTTATAATTTTACATATTAAGCTCATCAAAAAATTCATTCATTCCAGTTTCACACCAATAACTGAAATGCATCTAAATGTAATTTTTTCTCTTTAGCATGTTATCAAGCCTTGTAAATTATATTTACTCTTAACTTCATGTCTGAATTCCAGAAGGAAAACATTTAGTGCTGTACATACCATCTCCAGTGTTTTTATCTTTAAATGTTCAAGTATTTTGAATAAAAGATTTATTAGTTGGTTCATGATATCCCACTTTGTTATTAAACCCAACAACTTTGTTTTTGCAACCAATATGCCAATAATTTGTTTTGTTTTTTACATTTTGCATTTCCTCATATTTCTGAGCTGTATGACGAATGGATCATAACCAGAATCAAGTACATAACATGGAAGCCTAGTGCGTCTCTTAAGCCTCTCCCTCTGTGTCTCAGATGAATCCTTCTCCAGCTTCCACCCGGACGCTCAGCTGTCCCTCAGCCTCTTGCAGGGTGAATCTGTCCATGTGGAGCTCAGCCTGCTGCAGCCTGCAGACCCCACCCTGCTGCTCCTGCTCCACTCCTGCCTGGCTTACACTTTGACCCCGCGTGTTTACTGGGTGCCGTTTTATGAGCGGTACGGTGTTCCCACATGCTGAACGTTCTCCTTTGTGGGCTGCGGTTGGTTCTGCACATTAGAAAGCCCTGCTCCAAACCATGAAGGCCTCCTATTTTAGCTAGATCAGGAATGGGTTGCGGCTGTGCGTACTTGTTTAACATCCTGCAGAATAACAAAGGGCTCGTCTGGAACGTTAATGGTGGCTCTGTGTTCAGCTGCAGCAGCCAGAGTGCGTCGCAGCTGCTTCCTTCCCCGGACCCTCGGCACATCTGGAGGATTAAAGTTTCCAGCTTCCCCTCCCTGCCTCCAGCAGGCTACACCTACAGGGCTCCTGAGGGCCCAGCTGCACCGGAGGACCCGGAGGTAGGAACAGAACCGGCTCCTCTTCTTCTGGGCCTCGTCCACACCAGAGCTAGACTGTGCTGCTAAGACGGAAATCAACCAGTTTGGTGTTAGTGGCTGAGTGGAGCCACTAACACCAATTAATCATTAATCACAGAACTGCGATGCTTGAAATGATGAAGATAAACTCGCTTACTGGAAACGATTTCCAAAAAACTCAAGTTTTTCATTAAAGTTTTGCACTATGATTTTTCAGCTGAATCAAAATGACTATTTTGTAATGAACACTTTTCACATGATCAAGAGATGGGTGTTTGAAACACACACTCAACAAAAGGTGTAAAAAAAAACTTCTAGAAAATGGCTAGTTGGTTATGCTAATCCTCTTAAATGCTAAGACGTTTGCTACAGACAACTAAACAGAAATTAGTAAGTTGTTGTTTTCAAAGATTACATTTTGCTACATTGACCACACTTGTTAATTTTGACCCTGAAGAACAAAGTCCATATTGTGATGATGAGCCTTAATGTATAAACATTATGATTCCAAAAACTCTTACTTTGGTTCAATATAGTTGCATCTGTACCAAATCCTGTAGGATTTTTATTGCTTTTGTAGGTTTTGAGTGACTCAGAGAAAATCACTGTTTCTTTTATGAAAAATGACTCAAGGTTGTTGCCCTTTGAACTTCTGCTCGTTAGGCAGAAATTTCAGTGAAAGTTGAGATGAGATCCATCTAATCGGTGCATCTGCAGCAGGGTAAACCTCATGCACAAGCCTGTGTTGGGCGCAACCAGGTCAGCTTTGCCTCACTGTTGCTGTGGACGCAGGCTTGCATGCTCAGTGTGGCGCTCTATCGAAATCCTGGATCCACTAATGCTGCTCATGGTGGAAACTGTTGCATATGATCAGGGCAACCTGCTGCTGCTGTGGTGACATTTTCCAAATCTGCTCTGATCAAGTCACAGCAAACTGTTCAGGTCACGGAGAATATTTGTAAAGTCTTACTGTGGTGGTGTGTAAGGCAGGTCTTTGATTATGTTACAACACCATGAGAAGATCATAATGGAAAGTTTTGTTTGTTTGTTTTTTTTTCTCCCATCAGGTTTACTTCCTGTGCCACACAGAACTGTGCTCAACTGTTTATGGTGACTGTGGAGTGAGCTGCAGCAACGGTAAGAGATGAAGTTATAGCTTCAGGTTTAATCTATAAAGATCCTTAAAGATCCTTCCTTACAAAAGCTTTTGTTTAATGACTCTTTTTACAATCATTAAAAAACATAAAACATATTTTTCCCTGCCGATTACAACATTCCTAGATACGTTTCGTTTTACTCCTGGAAGTTTAACCAGCTGAAATTTGCTTGCGCATCATTTTAAAAAGTTAATTCTGACTTTTTTTACTAGTTAAATATTTCTTAACTCCTGGTGCCAAGAAATGAAACGGAAATGACCATCTAATCTTTTGGTTTGCCTCAGCAAAAAGAAAACTACTTGTATTTCAGAAATTACGGTAGCTCCAACTTTGAGGACCTTCATGTAGTCTGGTCCTTCAGTGTGTCTCACAAGGTCAAAGGTTGTTGCACACAGTGACGTCTCAACCTGCAGGGTTTGATCGTTTGTTTCCTTTTATGAAGATTTATATTTTCGTGCCAGCTCTTATTCTTGGTCGGTCCTTATATTCTGGTCTGCATGTGTCGTCATCCCAGTTGAAACTAAACTTTATTTATTTGTCCTTCATAAATAAAGGATACATTTATTTATAGTGTGACTCACACTATACGTTTTAAATCGCTTCCTCAAACACGTCTTCTGAAAAAGCTCCGACATGAAAGTGTTTTGATTTTTAGTTTTCATATATTCAGATTGTTTTTTTGTTTTTGCAGGTTTCAACACTTGATGTAACTGGATGAAATAAAGACACTTTTACACATTTGACTTATTTCTGTGTTTTATCAAAAAATGTGTACAAATTCTCTGTTTTGAGGGGGCAGAAAACAACCAAATCTGGACATAATTCAACTTTCCTTGACAGTCGTGTTACCCTTGAAACAAAAGTAAAACGTAAAATATAATTTTTATGAAAAGCTTAGGGGCTCCTTGCACTTTTAAAAAGTTTAGTGTAGGAACAAGGTGTGTACATAGAAATACCCTCACTTATTACAAGTTATTGAAACGTTTGAAGTTTGTTTGCAACATTTACATATCAACAAAAATACATTTTATTTTAAATGTGCCTCTCAGGTCACACAAAGGTCATCTCTAAGAAACAAAGCAACATAATTGACTCATAAAAGTTGGCGTAAAATGATGGGACGTTCAAAGTAAAAATGCTTTTAAACAGATGAGTTCTCCGCCCCGATTCTAATAACGGCATGCCACAGTGGTTCCTTTGTTCCAGCATCAACACGCCACTACATTTGTTTGCACATTTACACAATGAAAACTTTCAGTTCACAAAGACTTTACAGTTTTCAGGCTTTGCAGTTGCAGCCAAACGGCTCGGATCATGTTCTGAAATCGGCTGATTACTTCAAATTACAGTTTTAATTTCTGCCTGTTGAGCCACAGTGTAGGGAGAACCACATGCTCCCATGCTGACATTTATATGAACAGTTTTTGGATCGTTTTTTTAGAGACTACAGCTCCAAATGGATGACCCATGTCTGTAACTCTGGATCCGTTCTCGCTTTAGTCACCTGGGTTGGCGGTTTCAGAGACGAGAACAGGATCAAATTGTAAAAGTAGCCAACAAAGTTACAGGCTTTAGATGACCTGATTTAGTAGAAGCCTTTTTAAAAACTTCTACAAAAAGACACTGTCCTAATTGGGTTTTTATTGATATTTGTACATAAACTTTTAACTGTTTTGCCAATGTTTTTTTCCTTTCCTCTGACCTTGCTGCAAGGAAACTTCCCTAAGAGGACAATAATAATGACATACTGATGTATGATAGAATGTAGAGGGCAAACTGGTGAACTTTATATTTTAAATGAACACAAAGTATTGAGAACTCCAGAAGGCGACTCTGGAACAGTCCTGAACCTTCTCTGTTCTTGGGATTTGTTACTTCCACTGGATCTTTCCCAGACTTGGCTGGAAGAAGTTGATCCTAAAGTAGAATCTTTTTTTTCTTTTTTTTTAATCCACCCATTTTATCTATGGCAAAATTTCTAAACTTTTTTTTTATTTTACCAAAAATCTGATGCATTCAACAGGAAGTCTGCACCAGCTCTCGACTCTCCGTCCTTATACTTTAGCAGGTCGTCGGTCTTTTCTTGGCGTTTCTCGATCAGAAACTACTTCGTTTTTGGCCCTTATCACAAGCGCTGCCAGCGTTTCTCGTCTTGGCGTCATGATTCTGTAGTGCGAGCCTTAAAAGTCGGTGGACCTCTGTTGGACGCATTTGCAGGACGTCCTGAAGCTGCCTTCACTGCAGCCTTGTGATTCAGGAAACTGCAGCATTACAGCGGCAATAGGCGGTGGGAGGATGTTCATGTCGACTCTTAGGTTTCCATCTCGCTGCACAATTACAGAAGCCAGTCGGAGGATTGTCCCGTAAAGATGAAAACTACAAGCTCTCTTCACAGCCCCGCTGAATCTTTGAACTGAACAGGGCGGCGCAGACGACTTGTGTGATCTGTGAACACAAGTTTTACTTTTGCATGAGTCAAACAGTCGACTATTCATGGCTGTGTCCCAGGCGAAATGTTTTTCCCTAAACAAAGGGGCAGAATTTGCCTACCAAAAGAGCTCCGGTTCCAACGAAGGCGGCAGTCACCAACGGAGCACTTTGGTCAATGAAACGTTCGATGCTCTCTTGGCATTTCGGCTGAAAAGGAGAAGATGGAACGCTTTACGTTTTTAATTCAGGAGTTTCCAGAACGAGGTGCTCTGAGGTCTCCCAGCCGATGCGGGGGTCTTCCTCAGGTTTCTCGCCCACTTCCTCCCGTGGTCGGAAATGATATTATGGTAAACATTTTCACTTCCACCAATGTGGGGTTAAAAATGTTTCTCAAATCAACATGAAATCTTTTGAATGGGCTATTCAGAGCTGTGGAAACTTTCGCTTCCCTACAAATCTCATCTGCTTTCTGTAATTTACAGAAATGCTTTATTTAAGCCACGTTGGGTCAAACGGCCTGTTTTTGTCTTTCACAAATGGTCTCAAAACAACAATGTCACCATTTACCACAGTAACTTGTGACAATTTATCGTCCAGCTAAATTTATCATGACTATTCTGCCCAATACTTCTGTATTTTCAAACAGAAGTAGAAACCAATTGTGGTTTTCTTTGCCTTGATCTCTGGATTAGTTGCACTGGTGATGAAGGTCCGTCTGGACCAAGCACGATGGATTACTTTGATGAAACATACCAGATTGCCAGGCCTCGCCTTTGGGCAAGTCTTCTTAACCAACTCGGTCAAATGGACTCCGGCCGATCCGCAGCACTGGAGCTGTTGAGGAGAGGTGGAGGAAAACGAGATCAAAATGTATTCAACTGATTTGTTCGCTGTATTTGACCTTTCACAACTCTCAAACACGTTCCTTAAGTTTGATCTTCTCCCTTCCACAGTTTAGATATTTATTCTTTGAGTTCTTGAAACCCAAAGGTTGCGGTCGTTAAGCGACAGATGCAACCAGTTCAGGTCGACTGAAATCAAAAGGAAAATGCTAAATAAATGTGATTAAATGACCGTTTGGGTTTTTCTGCCGTTGCAGTGAGTGCTTACCAAATCATGGACGACTCTGAGAGTAGCAGCCACCGTTTCGTCTTTGTTCTTCTCGTAGAGTTTATGTATGTCGCTGTACAACTCTCCAAACTTCTTTCCAACCTTATCGGTTTAAATACAACGATTAGAACAAGAAGTATCGAATCTTTGCCAACATCTGAAAGCGTCTGATGTTTTTTTCTTTTCCTGCTTACCGTGTCCTTGCTGCTATAAGCAAGCGCTCCTACGGCGATTGCAGCTGCAGCCAGGAGGAAGAGGAAGACGCAGAACTGAAGAGAAATGAAAGGATAAAATGACGAGTCAGAAAATTATATGGTTTAAAAATTAGCCTGTGAAAGCATCAAATTTGACTGGAAAAATGGTAAACAGTTGGAGTCAGTCGAGTCCTCTGTTAGTACTTAACACTTTCTGACCAAGACTGGAGGAGTGAGGCCTCCACCATGACATTGAACCGAGCAGAAGACGAACCGTCCACTCCTTTAGTCTGAGGTTATGAAAATTTGTTGATCTCATGGCTCCCCAGCCAGCCTGTTCTTTCAGGAGCCCATTTCTGAGGTCAGACACTGATGTGGGACGAGCAGGCCTGCCTCCCTGTATCCACTCCACTTCATTGTGCATTTGAGTGGATTCTTGGAGGTTTATTTTATAGTAGTAGCTTTTGTTATTTTCTTACTTTGGCTTTAGGTGGAGATTTATGTTTTCATCGATCAGGTGAAAATACTCAACATTTGGGTATATACAGTTTCAGAAATATACATTCAGCTGTTGAACAACTGTTTCGTTTTCTCCCATTTGGCACAAGCACCGCCCTGCACATCATGCTGTGCCGTAATTTGCCGACTGTTGACGTAAACCTTTCAGTTTTAGAAACACACAATATAACTCCAGTTTTAGTTTTCACCGATTTCATCCACATCGTCTTTTAATGTTAATTATACTTCGGTCTCATTTCCTTTGGGGTTTCTCTTAAAATTGGACAGATTTTTTTGTTTTAGTTTAATTGCTAAATAAAGTCAATCTTAATTTTACTAGGAAATGGTGATTAATTACTTAACTCCTAAGTGAAGTAGATAGGTTTATGTTTTAGAAAATAAGATTTCTCTCTGATTCAGTAAGAGTTTACCCTTCAGACCGAATATTGGCGATAATAAAAATAAGAAATCTCACCACTTGGAGAGCAATTTTACTGTCGTTGCAGGCAGCATACTCTCCAAAAATCCCCAAAGCCACCATCACCGAGCCAAGGATCACCAGGATGTAGACGACTGGTGAGGTAGAAAACAGGAAGTGACGCTAGTCCAACGCAAAAAGAGCTTTTGAGGCTTTACGGTTTCAACTCGTTCACTTACTGACCTATGCGAAAGACGTTTGAGTCCATGCTTTTGTTGTCCTCGTTTACGCTGAACATGTCTCTGCTGTTGTTTTGGAAATTCAGCCACAGGCCAAACACTAAAGACGCGAACCCCAAAACCTACAAACGGAGAGAAGACGTTGAAATCTCTTAGCTCGGGTGCATCAAGATGTTAGACCATCAACAGATTGACTGTCATTGACTCTCTGACAGTAATACAGCTTATAAAGTAAAACGTGTGTTTATCCAGAAAGATACGTTTTAAGCAATACAAAGATGTAGATGGGGGAATCCCAAAACTGTTTGAGAATAATTTCATTTTAAATTCAGAATGGTGCCGACACACAAAGATCATCACCAAGGAAGCTGGTTGCTCACACAGTTGTACAACCAAGCATAGTAATGTGAAGGTAAGTAATAAAAACTCTGGCTTTAAAATGAGATGCAAATTAACCTTGTATAGTCCACTAACCAGACCGACCAGGAAGCCTTTGTGCCTGTTTCAATTTAATAAGACATCAATGTTAAGTCTGGAATAAGGTTTTTTTTTTTGTTTTTGTTTTTTTTTTTGAGGTATTCAATTACCTGCAAACCATTAAAATGAGAAAAGGCTTAAAATATTTTACTGTATGCTGAATCGCAATAACAGGAATGAACATTAAGATGAATTTAGCCTGTAATTAAAGCGCTGTTGATTGTGTGTAAATGTTTATGTACTTATTATGTTTGTATATATATGATTATACAAGTCAAACTTTGTCATGCTTTTTCAGACACTAACCAAACTTGTTAAAAAATAAAAATATTAAACTTTTACTTTTGTTTTTTCTGGTGAAATATCTGAAATAAAAATGTATCATAACGTACAAACGAGTAACAAAATACTGAAATTTTATTACTTTTTTTTCAGCCTGTATTTAAACATCACTGTTAAGTAAATCGGATCAAATTACTTTAATAAATTCACGTTTTGATTTATTTCTCTATTATTCTGTGTAACTCGAGCTGTGATGTTTCACACCTTTAAGCCTTTTATTTCTAGAGAAGTTTAAATAATCCAGCCTTACCGTCAGGATGATGTTGAAAACGAGGAGCATGTATTTGCACATGACGCCGCATCTGTCCATAGTGACGGCGATTTGAAAGCTGTTTTCTGGCGACGGCTTCATTGTCAAAATGTAGAAATAAAAAATAATTCAACCTAAGCGAGCAGTTATTGAGTTGCTGTCGTTGATGTGGAGCCGCTCATTCAGCTGTTAGGAGCGACAGGCTGAACTGTCCAATCACACTGGGCTCATTTCTACCAGGCATGCGGAGGCTCCGCCCCTCCGCTGCAACCCGGGCTTCTCATTGGCCAGGAGGCGTGGCTTCAGGACGTGCGGGAGCATCGAGCAGTGATGCTCAAATATGTTCATATGGAGTTAAATTATGTAATTTAAAAAAAAATCTAGCAAAAATGAGTGATTTTAATAATGAAAAAAGATTTTTAAATAACTTTTTTGTTTTAAAAAATTAATTACAATTCAAAAAGCTTTAAACAATTTTTTTTCACCTATAGCCTGTATATATATTTTTTTGTCTGTCTATATTTTTTTGTCTGAAGCAATAAATTTGTAACAATTCCGAAAGTTTTGACCACTTTGATATATTTTTTTATTGAATAATCGTAAAACAAATTTAACTCCATAGCTTATCCTCTGCAACGTTTATATTCATTAATCCTTTCACAGAAATACAATGGATATTATAAGACACTGATATAAATAAAAAAATCATCAGTTGCTTCGGTAAATAATCACCGATTTAGTTTTGTTTCATCAGACTAATTCGACACAGATCCATGAATATCTGCAGATTTACAGTTGAGGAATGTGTTATTTCTAAATGTTAATTGTTGTGGCTCGCAGCCAATCAAAACATATCAACATCATATGAGACCAATAAAATGACTACCAACAGGAAAGTGAGAAGATTTAACAACAAGAAGTTTCCTGTGAAATAGTAGACGCCATTGAACCCCATTAAATTATTTATTCATAAAAACGCATTTTGTTTTGTCAAGCAGTTGTTTCTCCAGGCAACTCAGGCAGTTGCCACTGCAAGTTAGTCCTTTTTTCGGTCCAGAGCCAAATATTTATTTTTTTCCACAGATACTTTGAAAGGTATCGCTGTATGAGAATTTAGCTGAAGAGCATCGTTTCCACTTAATGATGACGTGCAACTATTTCCATTTGCTTTTTCAGGACTGGGCAGTTCGGTGAAAAGGAAATAACGACACATTCACACATGCAATTTGTTTCTGTTATTTTTATGGAAACATGCAAAGCCACAACTCCTACAGAGAATATTTCACTAACACAATACAATGCAGTAGTCAGGACTACATGATAAAATCTGAAGAAAAATAAGGCATTCAGCTTTTAAACATATTACTTAAATTCTGTCTCTTTGCCCCCACAATATAGTAATTTATACCAAGGCAACAGTTTTAAATTACAGCTTTAAAAGACTCCATTTAAACGTTGTAAGGTTTTTTTTTTATTATTATTTGGTACTCAACTTCCTGGCTACTGCCGTGGCTCTTAAAGAACAAAATGAAAAGTAGTTAGAAACAACAAAAAAAGTTTTTCTTTACCTTAAAATCTGCAAATATATATGAAAATGTTTAAAAAAGTGAACAAATCTAATACAATTTCAAGCGTGATCAGACATGGAAAGAAACAAACGAAAACAAAAGATGTGCTTAAAGGTTTCAAATCTATAATTGGACCTAAATACAATCAAAGCTCCTCATTATCCCTTTTTTCTCCTTTTCACATTGCTGACAGTGATGTTCACCAGTGTTCCAACAACGAGCGAGCCAAAGCTATCTCACTAAAACGCAGAAAAAGTTGTAATCACAGAACAGAAAAGAAGAGAGCTAACGCGTATCGAGGCTGCATGCGGTTCTGTTTGTTAAAAAAGGCTCAGTGCGGTTTGGCTACTAACGTTTGCAGGTAAATCATCGAGTTGTGTTTGGCGTTGTCGGATTCATTTTCGCTCAGGTGTCTGCTGGTCTGGTGTACCTGTGTTTCTCAAGTTGGTTCGTCTAGTGGTATACGACAACGTTTTCAGCAGCCGCCCAACTGGAACTGCAGTCAGTAGTTCACACACGTACACACACACACACATTGGAAAAGGCTGTAAACACTGATCTGCTGGCTGACTTTCCAGCGATGGTCACTGAAGACGACTTAATACACTGACGAATAGTAAGCGGTGATGTTCTGTTGCACTTTCTTGAGCTGTTGCAGGAGGATAGTGGCGCAGACCAGGGCAGTGATCTGTCATGCAGACAAAGAAGGAGGGAAGTAAAGAACAGCGAAGGGGAGAGAGACCACCCCCGTGCACACCTGGCAGTAACGTCCAACCTAAACGCCGAATGGGGTAACGGATCGGTCCCCAGGTCGGCGAACATTCAAAGCGGCTAACGGAGATCTGATCGTTCAGGATGGACTTTGTGCCAGGCTCCAACAATCATGCTTAAAAACACCTCTACCATGTTCTCACAAATTTAAATCAGCCACCCGGAAGATTGACACACAAACCCCACGGCACACACACACACACACATAGAAAAAAAGCATTCGTGAAATCAGATAATGAGTTTGTCGAATGAAACATTTGAAGGACAAAAATCCAACCCTGTTGCATCAACGTCTGTTAAGAGTGGAGAAAGTGAGAACAAGGTTGAGCTGGAGAATTAACGGTGAGTGTCACTCCAATTAGTGGAACAGAAATCATTCGTTTTCACGTGACAAACCCGGTTCTGGTCAGAAGTTTACATCCAGTCTGTCGTCACAGCCATGAACGTAGCAGTGAATCGATCTGAATATTTTGACAACTTTTCTCATCAGAAATGGCTCAGATCTCCTGGCACAAAATGTATCTTTTTACTTCACAAACGTTCAACAGTATCTTAATGTTGACCTTTTGCCCTCTCATACTTAATGGACAAAGCTTAAGTAATTTTGATCCTGAAATATCTCTTATAATTCAAACAAGTTGCAATTGATCAGTCATTGTTTTGAAACAATACAGAAGTTCTATGTTGTAGCCATTCCTGAAAAATAACATTAGCTAGTTCAGTAACACTTTATGTGATGGGACAGTGCATGACATGCCACTGTCATAAATATGACGCCTGTCATGAACATGAATTAGTCTTTATGAATGTTGATGACTGTTGTCATGAAGTGTCATTCAGTAAATAATGACACTTTCAATGCAAAGTTGCTTTGAAAGTCCATTAAAAGTGCCAACTTTGCATTAAAAATGACACTTCATGATAACAGTCGTCAACATTTCTATAAAGACTAATTCATGTTCATGACAGGCGTCATATTTATGACACTGGCATGTCAGTGTTATGCACATCCTGTCACAGTCTTACCATCAGTTTTAAAGTCTTAATTTGTCATGAGATTCAAGTCCATGCTGGGTGTATGTAAACTTCTGACCCATAGAAACCCGCCGATTGCGTCTGAACAGTTGCTTGTCCCAATTTCTTGGAGAATGATCTTCCCAAAAGTGCAGATTAGATATGAGGAGGGGATTTTTTTTTTCCTTCTGAAAGGTATGAAGCTCAAGCGTGATCATGCCGAGTGAAGCAAACGGGTTTGTCAGGTCAAGATGCTGTGGAACAACACAAAAACCGAGAACGGAATCTGTCGAGAAGCTTCCTAAGCCTGAGCCACAGGGATGTTGACCACAGAGAGGGACGTGAAGACGACGGGGTCCTGGTCGGGGAAGGAGTTGTTGGAGGCGGTGACATGCTGGGGGTACGGCTGAGGGGCAACCGGGGAGGGGGTGCTGGAGCTCAGGATAATGTACTGAGGAGATGAGGAGGCCTGGCGGATCTGTGAACTGAGCACTCCGCTGCAAATCAGCGCTACGATCTTTTGGAAGCAACGATGGAAGAAATGATGGACAGAAAATGAAATAAAATGACAAACAAAAAGGTGGGAGGGGGAGGAGAGAAAGATGGTCAAACTTAAAAAACGTGAGCAAAACACAAACTTGTTTAGGGCTGTCCTTATTTAATTAAATCTGCACCTTCAGATCTACAATCATAATCTAGGTTTCACTTCACTAAAGCGTCAAATTAGGAAGGGATTACGGAACGAGACGTTTTGTTAGTGTGAACATTTGAATTGGATCTTTTTAGACTGCTTTGAAGCAAACACAACTATGCAGAGGTTTCCTACCAGAAGAGCTCCAGTTCCGACGAAGACGCCCATCACCAGCGGCGCCCGGCTGTCGAAGACCGTGACGATGGTAATGGGACAGTTCTGGAGGAGGACAGAGGACACTGTGAGCGCCTGAGGGTCTAACACCCGACCCAGAGTTTACAGAGCGAATCCACCAGCAGGAAACCAGCTGGTTTTCCACGACTTCCACCTCTACAAGCATCTCAGCTCTGAATCAGGGACCACAGCCACCTATGAACAGCTAAAACCTGTGAACACTTGAAGGAATGGCTAAAAGCTCATTTATAACTTCCTGTTTTAATGCTTCAAATACCAAATATACCTTAGTAGAGAAGTAGCAGTATTTCACTGTAATGTTTAGGGTTTTTTTTTTTTTGCTAATCTATATTCATGATAGAAGTTAAATCTCTCTTTTTGGTTACAATACAATATTTAGTTCAACTTGTTTATGGACACACTGTCTGCTGTTAGAGAGCTGCTCAGTACAGAGGATGGTAATTGTGAGTTTAATCACGGGGAGCAACAGGAACACAATGATTACGTTTTGTAACGGAATGACCGTCAATTAGCGGCGCTGATAATAGAGACGAGAAGCTGTTCGGAGATCTGAGCTGCCGTTCTGCACCGACAGTGGAAAACACCAGAACTACATAACATCAGCCTGGTGTGATGTGAATTTGATTTTTTGCTTGCATTTAAAAAAAAAAAAAAAGTTCATAATCTGAGTCTTTATCACTATGTTTGGGCCAGCAACATTTTTCATAAGACAAAATAAAATGTCTGCGTTTATTTAGTCCATCACAACCAGAAGCTGGAGGTTTTTTGTTGCAGAGTGTCGCGGAGAAACGACTGCAGCTGCTGCTCTCCAGACCGTGATCTGGAGAATCTCCCCGCTGGACTAGAAACGAACAGAATCACACATTCATCTGCTAATGTGTGATTAACAAGTTTAGGTTGTGGCTGCAGCGAGTGTGTCTTGAACGTGCTCCCAAAACAAAAGCGGTGGTTTTCATCGCCCACCAGGAAACAAAAAGAATTTGGCTAGAAATTCAAAATTTGAACAGAGAACCCAAAATGCTTCATGTCTCCTCGTTTCATTGTGTGGACAGAAAGCGAAGGGAAGAAAACCCGCATCTGCATCCACTGAGTCTGTGAAGTAGCTAACTCTGCTAGTGTGAGTTATATGCGGCTGTTTCTTCAAGTCGCCATCCCTCCCCGCATTAGCTGTAGGTAGCGGTAAAACAATATTGTAAACTGTGATATTTGGACTTCCTACATATTTTATAGCCTAAAACCTCTGTGGAAAACCGGTTAGCGAGTTGCTAACATGTAAACAAATGGCAGTCGCGCCCATAAATCACGCAAAGCCTCCTGGGGGCTCGGAATAAACAGATGCCTCAGCCTTCATGTCAGATTATAGTCCATGATCTAAACACTGAGTAATAAAAAGTTTAATTTACTGTCATAAATAAGAACCACAAACACTTTTTATTTCAAAATAAAAACCCACAAAAAGAGTCATTAAATCCTGGAGGGACTGAAAAGATGTTCAATAATATTATTTAATTTTAAGAATATTTTAGCAGTTGGTGAACTTTCTTGCACAACTGGCCCTTTAAGAGCCTTCGTGATCTTGATTTGGCCCAAAACAAAAATGACTTTGGTACTTGTGGTGCAAAGCATCCTAGAACAACCCAGAAACTAACATCTATGTTTGCCATCATTTCACACTTAAAGCCTCAGCCGATCAGTGTCAAGTGCAAGACGCTTCCTGTGGTGGTGAAAGGGCCAATAAATGTTTTCTTTCTTTTTTTTCAGATGAACAGCATGTCTGCGAATTTCATTTGTCATTACAAACTTCCTGTTTCCTCAGATTACAAAATGACAAATCTTGTTTCTCCTAGCTTTACTTCCTCATTTTCTTGCGACAGCAAATACAAAAACACTACTACTCCGTTTAAACAAGCTACAGTCTATATCTATAGTCAGAGTGATGCAGTCCCTTGGAAGGCATTTGAATGTAAACTTTTCACATTTTGTCCAGATGTATTTCATTAGGATTTTATGTGCCAGACCCAATGCTGGCTAGAGAATAATTTTCACTGCAACTCCTGCTTCAGATCTTTTGGTGTAATCCTCTATCAGCTTTGCATTTCTAGAAACCAAATATCGCAATCTCAGTCTGATTGGATCTCACCACACACTCTCAGTAGAATTTAGACATGGACTTTGACTGGGCCGTGGCAATAGACAAACACGTTTGAAGCTACACTATTCCAGTGGAGGTGAGCCTTTGATAAGCTCCTCTCATCTGTGTTGAAGTAGATTCATGCACCGTGTTTCACCGGACAAAAGGTGATCATAATCATAAAAAAATTCCTACGGTAAGAAAGCCACTTACAGGCATTACGATGTGCTCCATAAAACCGCCTGGTTTAGGACAGGTCTGCTTCACTATCTCAACCAGTGAGACTCCAGTCATCCCACAGCAGTGCAGCTGAAGCACAGGAAGTGGAAGTCAGTAAGAGCACTAAGAAAAATGAACATATCAATGCACAAGTTTTTTATGTTAAAGCAAGAAAATGGTGCACACATACCGAGTTGTGGATGAATGTGAGTGTGACACCAATTGCTGGATCTGGGCTTTTCACATAGAGGGAATATAAAGTAATATAAAACTCTCCTAGTTTCTCTCCAACCTTGGGAAGGAAAACCCAAAAACACAATTACAATCAGGATGTTTTGGTTTGGGACAGATGGCTGTGGCTTTTACCATGTCGCTGTTGGAATAAGCAAGTCCTCCGATGACGAACTCAGCCACAGCCAGAAAGAAGAGCAGGATGGAGAACTGGAGGGACAAGAAGACGTAGATTAATGGAGTTACTGTGAGTCATTCTGCAGCAAAACAACAAAACGGGATTGAAAAGAGTTCAGTTCATTTGCAATAAAATCAGCTTTTTGGATTGTTTCGAAAGAAGCTACAGAATAACGTTGGAAACATTGTTTTCTCTTTAAGTCGGAGCCAAAAGGACTGCATGTCTAAAAGACAGCATTCCAGAAATAAGCCACACATTTCATTATAACTTTTTGTTTTTATGCGCAGTGTAATTTAATGACAAAAATCCAAACACTACCTAAGTGATAATACTTAATTTGCATAACACCTTTTGAAAAAAAAAAAACGTGACAAAATGCTTTTTCAAAAAAAAAATGTTTTTTTTTATCATTCTCTGGCGTTTTGATTCATCGCCATCACCTCTGAGCTACGACTACAGACATTATTTAATGTGTTGCTGGATGCTGTATTGTTCCAGTGTTAGTGCAATAAATTGTAATATAATTGTTTTAAGACTATTTTCAAGGAGTGCATTAATTATGGCATCATAATGCAGGTTTGCCAACTTGAGGAACAATAAACTTTAATTTTTCTAATTTAACACTGGACCTGGATGAGATTTTAAAGACAGAAAAGAAAACACAGTCACCAATAAAATACATATAAAGCAGAAATAAACCCGCACAGAACCATAACCATTAATAAAATGGATTATGTCTTTGTGAACAAGATTGCCCTGATATTAATAGCCAAGATCCATTGAATTTATCATGCAAACAGCTGCTTATTGCGACAGGTTTGGTTACAACCAGATAAAAGTACACGTCTGTGTATTTTTACAGACGTGTGTGTTTGTGTGTGCATTGCCTTACCACTTGCAGGGCACATTTTTTCTCATTGCAGGCGCCGTAGTCTCCGAATACCACCACAATCAGCATGATTGCACCAAGAATGATCAGTACGGTCACACCTGACGGAGCCGAAAACAGGAACAGTTTGCCATAAGACGTAATCTGAAACCAACCTGCTATCCTACCAACGGCTTTTGCGTTTGCAACAAACCTATGACGAAAGCGCTGGAGTTGAGCGCGTCGATATCAAAGATCCCTCTGGTGTTCTCACCGAATCTGAGCCACAAGCCGAGGCCCAAAAACGCCAACCCAACCACCTGCCATGAAAGAGGAAGCGAAACCAGGTCACAAGTGGTAACACCATCCGAGCAAATGTACCTGCGGTTGCATGAAGAATAACAAAAAGCAGCCGCAGCTGCAAAACTCTCCACACAAAGTAGAGCCCTACAAAAACTAAATGACAACTGTCAGTGTGGTATCAATCTGTGCGATATCACAAACATAGATAGATGCTCAGGAACATGGGCTTTTGTAGGAAGCCCATGTCTGTATTTTGGTGTTTAAAACAAATGAGAAGTCATTTTTGGCTGGTTATAATAGGTAGACTACCCTTTAAAACATTAAAGGGACATTATGTGTACAGTCTGTGGTCATGCTACTCCAGCCCATGAACAGTAAATGGAGGAAATTTCAAATGTTGACACGGTGGTGGTTGTGTTTACAGGAAAGTTATTTTATACTTCTAAGCTTGTTGAGTTGTGTTTATTCATTCAATAACCCTTAAAAACTAAAAATACACATTTTCCTAATTTATTTGGAGACCCTGTAGTTTTAAAGTCCATTAGAGGGGGGTTAGTGTTATTGTCCATTTATCATCACCAAGAGGAACTGCTCAATATATCCTGATCGCCAAGCCATAATCGCCCAGCCCTCAAGTGACATAAATCTAATTCCTTTCAGTATGAATAACCTAAATATGGTCTGGAGCAAATTTAAACACACAGCTTTTAATTTGGAAAAACAAAAGCAACTTTTATTTTGAGCACAGCTACTGTCTTTGATTTATTTGAGAAGGTACACAGTGCATAGAGCCTCAGGTTGGGATCCCAGTCTAGGATTTTGTCTCTTTGCATCCACAAAGGTTCTCTCCAAATACTCAACATTTCTACTTGCAGTCCAAAAAGATGTAGATTTATGGGTTTCCATTTATGTCAAAAATAAGTAGAAGTCATGTGTAGAGGTTGTTGGTCTATGATGTTGCTATTTGTCTTTAGTAGATGTCTATGGACTTAGTGCTTTATGGATATGTCAATGTTGCATCTAAATGTAGGTGATGCATACGAATTTTTGGACATAAATGGAACCCCATATTTGTTAGGTTAACTGGTCTGTGATAATGCATATACACTGACTTTTGCAGAAAGAAGAGACTGCCAGATACGTCGTTACTGCAGTATTAGTTATTAATGTTAATAATAAAAGTTGTTTTGAATCGCACACAAAATACAAGAACAGGGGAAAAAAAATCATAAAAGGACAGATAAATGACTGTTTGTGGAAAGATTGCATCTTCACACAAGCAAACTGTAAAATACAAAAACTTCCACTCGTAATTATTCTTATCTTACCACAAGCAGTTACTTGTGGTAAGATAAGTTTCTGTTCTCGGTGTGGCAGGGACCGATCTGGATCTGATAAACCAACTGAAGAAAAATCAGCATGTAAACACCCTTAAAGGCAACCAAACGGGAAAATTGGACCCAAGTACAGGCTGGGGATGAGCCCTTTCTAATACTTGAAGGCAACACTCGAAAGAGAGCATAGTCATTTCTAGAGAAACGAAACATCAGAAACGTAGCTGAGACCTGCGGGCTTTACAGGAGCGCCCACTTCCGCTCCGCGTGGCTCCGAATTACTCACACCTTACTTAATACGCCACCTTTTTAGTGGTAGCTTTGAAATTAAATTCACTTACAGCAAAGACGATGTTGAAAAGGATGAGAATGTATTTGCACACGAGTCCACATCCGTCGACAGCCATGATGATGTCAAACTGCGCACTTCTGAAGTCTAAGGAGAAACAAATGGGAACGATGGAGCTCCTCCGGCAGCACGAGCCTGTTCGGGTGGAGAAGATAGAGGAAAAAAAACAACCGCGTTAAGTCCATGTCTGTGCGACTCAAAGTCAGCAAACGTCGTCATAAATGTATAAATATTTTTTTAACGTTAAATATTTAACAGGGAAAATATGAACTACCAGCACAGTTGTCGTTCCGGAAAACACGGATACAAGAAAAATAGCTTCAAAGGATTTAAATACCTTTTTCAGCTGGGATTTGATTAAGCAGCACGCGCCTGTCGCTACAGCATCCGATTGAACTGCGTGTAAATTTTCTTTACCTCAACGTGCGGCAAGCCCCGCCTCCTTGGCCTCTTCCAGTTCTCTGATTGGTCGAAAGGGATGACCGATGACCCGAAGCCCCAATGAGCAGGAGGAAGGGGAGTTGCTGCCCACAGAGAAAGATATCAAAGGGGGGGAAAGGAAACTTAAGGAAATAAGACTGCGTCACGACGCCTTTGTTTACATTGTTACTGCAAGAAGACAATAGACTTTCAACTTCTCTGGTGTTAAATTATTACTGGGGTCTAAGGATTTGGTACAAAACGACGTCGTTGTTGTTATCACCCTTGAAATGCTTGAAAATGCAGAAGCACGTTTTAATTTTGCTCTTAAGCTCCAAAGGCAACAGAGAAGAAACGAAATGAAAAGGAATCAACTTTGCCATCTCTCACCTCCCCCATTCATACAACCCAAGATTACACTTTCACGCCATTACCTCAAATGAAGGAAGAGCAGCAGAGAAATGATTCATAATGATAAATAAGGCTGATCTCTGAGTGAAAGAAATCCAAACTGGGAAAGAAAACCAAAACCACTTGGATCCAGTCAGTAAATTAATGTGTAACAAGATCTGAAAAGACACAAAAAAGTTCAGCTGAACAGATCGGCTTAGAAGAGAAACTGGGCATGTAGTCTTATGCGACTGATTATATTGCTATTGGTATTATATTTAACTGATCTTGAAAACAAAGCTTTTGTCAGATAAGACTGTTTAAAAAAACAACACAACAGCAGTGGTAAATGACCAACATACTTAAACATAATCTTTAAAACCTGATTGTCTATTGTCAAATTTATAGAAAATCCAAAAATAGCAGCTCCAATGAGGCTTTGTTGTGAATTGCATCGTACTAACAGAACTTGTGTGAACAGAGAACTAGAAAAAACCTGGGAATTAATTCACCAAGTAATGGTGAACCCTACCTCTACCCTTACCCTAATCTCTAACCCTACCCCTGCCCTAACCCTAAAATGTTTCATTTTAGGAAACATTAAAAAAATTAAAAAAAATTAAATTAAATTTAAAAAAAGCTCTGAAACAATTCTCATGAGATTTCCACAACAAATGTAAAACTATTTCATGCAGAAAACATTTGAATTTTCATTTTTTTGCTGTTGTTGTTGCAGTGCATTTTAAATGCCATTTTACAATATGTGCACAAAGTAGAGGATAACTGTGAGGCGGAAGGAAGAAAAAAGCTGGCAGACCCCCGGCTGAGTTTTAATTCATCAGAAGCAGCCAAAGAGGCCTGTGGGTAACTGCAGGATCTGTGGAGAACCTGAGCTCATGTGGGGGAATCCAAGCGACTGGATAACTACCAGCTGAGCACGTCACAAACCTTTCCTTTCATGGAAGCAAGACGAAAGCCATTGTTGACACGAAGCCCGTTTGCCACAATTCACATTAATCTCACTTGTACAGCAATAAATAATGCATCCTAATAAATGTCAGCCAAGATCAAAAACCTGAAAAGTGTTTGAGTCAGTCAAGCAACACTACACATTCCCCCTTATTTGCATAGCTCCATTCATACACAAGGCGAAAAGTGAATGCAAAGCATGAAAGAACCAAATGTTTATTGGTCAGATTGTTTAATCTTAAGCTGCTCAAAAAAAAGATATGTATATATTTTGAATTCAAAACACAGCAGTTTGTACACATCTTGGGTTTTCAGGGAGTTTGTTTCAGAGGTGATGGACATGCTCTGAAGACCTAGGCACACCATACCTGTTGCATAACACGACGGTGGCAGCGTCATGGTGCAGTGAGGCTTTTCTTCAACAATAATCATAAGAAAACCAATGAAAGGCTGTGCAAGAATAAAGCCATGGGCAAGGTTTTATATCTTCCAGTGAGGAAATATGTGAACATTTGGAACCACAGCTATAATAAATCGGCCGGTTTAAAGTTTTACTGGCATGTTACAATGGCCCAGTCAAAGTCCAGACCTCGATAGAATTGAGCATATGAAGCTGGCAGAGTGCAAGTTATTTTTTCCAAACCAGAACGTACAGAAACAACTTGAGTGCTCAGATGTGCAGAAATTTGTCGCTCAAACTATTGACTCGGGTGGGACGTGGCACACAAAAGCATATTTATTTGTAAAACATAAAAAGCAAACCCATTCATCTCTTTTCTGTTTTCTTTCCCTTGCCAGTGCTGCTTTACGAAAGATGTTTTCAGACGTTTCTCCGCTTTTATTTTTAATTGTGTAACATATGGTCCTCCACACAGCATTGCATTTGTCACGTGTAAAATCTGTCTAAAACACACTGAAGTAAGCGGCTATCATATGACAGAATGTGGAAAAAGAGCAGCCATCAAACACACATTTGCAAGGCGCCGCATCACACAGGGCGTGAATATACATCACAACCACATGAAACAGACGTTCCTCCTTGTGACGGATCTTTTAGGAAGCGGTGCCGTTTCTCAGCCTGTGAGGTCTGAGAGAGTAATGGCTTCGTCTGCCTCTCACCGGCCTTGTCAGGGAAAAGTGGCTGCAGCGTGGAGTTATGTGACCCCTCAGCCATCCATCATTGCAGGTTCAGTGGGTGGCACGAGGAGCAGGTAGCAGGTTAGAGGAGGAGGCAGACTGAGCGACTTGCAGAGGAAAGAAAAGAGGCCCTGAAGTCTCTGTTTCTTCTATGTATACAGGCTGTCACGTTGAAGAGCTGGAACTTCACACGTTAAAAAAGCTTGAACTCACTGCGATCCGACAGGTAAATTTAGGAAAGGAGTTTATCTCAGAGTAGGGCTGGATTTCTGCTTTGCGACAGACTGGCGATGTGAGAGTCACGCTGTGAAGCAAGAGCAAAACATCACATTCTGTCAAACGCGACCATCAAAATTGGGAAACTCAAAATGGGTGCTTATTTTCAATTTTTTTTTTTCAGCCTTGCTTCCAAGGCTCTGGAGGTTCACTCTAATTTCGGGCCTGATCGCTAGATTTCAGCTGTAATAACTGAATTGACAAAACTTTTTCAAAGTGTTTTTTTGTTGTTGTTGTTTTTTTTACAATGAGATTCCAAAAGAACGATTACTTCTGCAGTTTCCGGTGAATCTGTCAACCCTGTTGCTAGATGCAACTTCTGGCGGACAGAAAAAGCCAGTGAAGCAAGACAAGTAAACTCAGACAATGAGACCCCACACGGGATTCTTCACACTTCTGTTTGGCTTCCACACTTGTGTGAAAAGGACTCACTGGTTCTCTTTATTAAATCAAATTTAAATGGCAACTAAACAAAACAAAGATGTCAAGAAAATGATGCGATTTCTGAAAGGCAAATGATTCACCAGCTAGCCTTTTGGAGTCAAGTAATTTGTCATGTGCAAACATAGCAGTCTATCATTGTTTAGCATTATTTCTAACCACGTTGCACATATTGGCAAGACAAATGGCACAAAGTTGCACTGCCAGAACTAAAATGAAGTTTCTTTTTGAATGTTGTGATTTTACTTCCACTAGGGGCGCAAATGTGTTAAAAACATCTCAGGCAATGTAAAGGATTTGGTGAGAAATCCTTTTAGTCTCTAAATATTTATACACATTTACATATTAAATGCACTATACCTATATAAAGACCTGTAGAGTGATTCTAGTTTATACAGTGTCTGCAATAAAAAAAAAAAAAAACCACTGATTTAAAGACACCTTACTGTGTCTATAGATTTTTTTCTTCCTGGTTTATTTTCCTTTGTTCTGTTGTTTGTGACAAACACATAACGAATATCAGAGATTAATTTAATTCATGTACAGTAGTATGACAGATAACAATTATCTGTTTTATTTTTCTTTCAAAGATTCTCTGCAGTGCTGCCTTGTTTTTCGCTAAGACATGTATGGTTGTGATAAAAAAAATTAAAAAAAAAAACAGCGGGGCGATGAGCTATAGATTTCCACTGCTGGGTTGAACAAAAATGTATTATTTAAAAATTGCACTTAGGAAATAATAACCCGTTTTGCTTTGCTTGGTGTTTACTTTAGTTGATGACATCACAGGAGGCAAAATGACTGAGAGGATCAACTGCTTTTCATAGATATAAGCATAAATGTGAGAGGTTTTAATATAGAGTGTGAAGAATACAACCGTTAGTCGTGTTGCTAATGGTTCAAGCTGATGAATTTAGCCAGATTTTTACTCCAATGACCTGAAAACAATTTCAGACACTCGTGCACCTGAAGCTTGCGCTGATTTTTACTGTAGTCAACTTAGCAACTTTAGCTGGCATGATTCTGTTTAGATTCCTACTTGAATGTTTACCTTGATTTTTGTGCATTTTCACTTTACCATAACAAATTAAGGGATGTATTAATGTGTTTAGTTGCACAATGTGAATATCGACCCTAAAACAAATTCAAAAAACTTTGAGAAGATCCTACCAACTGAGTCTGCTAGGAGAGTTACTATCCGCATTTTCAAAAGTCCTGATTGTGGCCTTAAACATCACTCGGCGAGGAAGAAGCTATTGTTCAAAAATAAACACATAGCTGTGCATATTGAAGCAACTCAAAGCAACAATCAGGGAGTGAAAAACCTGGGTGCAAATGAGTCCGACAAGTGAATAATGACCTTAAGAACGCAATTAAATGAATTAGAAAGTGGCTAAAACACAATAAAATCAACGGTTTGAAGGCTGAACAATACTATCTGTGGTCAAACAAAAGGCAAGAGTTGTTTTATTTTCCCCGGGCAGGATCAATGGCTTTATGGCCAGACTAAGGCAGAAAAGCCTTTCGGGTAAAATCGTTTTATTTCGGTAGATTGTCATTTTACCACCACCAGGGGGCGCACGAACATTAAAAACGTCTAAAACGTATACTAATCCTGTGGAAGTAAAAGTCACTGATCAATCTGGCTTATTTGCTTTTTATTTATTGTATATATGATTGAAGTTACCTTAAGTACACATACACAAAAAAAAATAAGTAAATAATACAATTGAAGGTAAAGAGAAGGGGCCTGTGTGGTTCATTTATTTATTTATAATAAGCTTAGAAAAATTAAACATACAATAAAAGCATACGACATTTGAAGGAGCACTGAACCAGTCGGATTAACTGGAAATATGAAAGATTTCAAATTGTGTCTGAAAAAGCAGACACAGCGGCTAATTTACGTGCGTATTCATGGTTGATATTCTTATTCGAGCACATATGAAATATTCACTTCAAAATGGACTGTGGTGGAAAAAAATATGTATAAATTATTTATTTATGTCAAAAACTTTAAATTTGAGTAGATGGGAAAAAAAAGGTGATTTCAGGTATATTTCTAATGTTACTTAAATAGAATAAAAAGTAAACATTGACTAGTTTATAATACTTCAACCACAGCAATATTATTGTCGATATAAAATGATAGCTTATTTATAGATGCATGTAAAAATTATATAATATGTTACTTATTCTATTTTAAACATGTTTTTGTGGGTTTCATGTAAAAAAAATATATATATTTCCCCCTATAACAATTTCTACCAACCATGGAGGAGGAGGGAGCTGTGGGAGGGGAGGTGGAGGCTTAGGGGGAAAAGGAGGAGAAGGGAGACTCGGGGGAAAGAACAAACAAAACGCAGACCTCAGACCAGCCCGTCTCTCCTGCCAGTACGCGCTCTCTTATCCCGGCGTCGGCGGAGAAATCTGATCCCAGGTCGGCGGACCGCCGCGTCTCGCCCCTCCGCGTTTCTCCGAGCCCCGGGGACTCAGACCAAGAGGAGACCGTGAACCGTCGGGAGCCAGGTCGGCCACGCCAAGACCCCGTCCGCGGCAGAACACGGCGAGGGAGCGGACAAGGAGCCTGCGAAAGGCGACAGGGAAGGCTCAGAGGACCCGCGGAGGAGTTCAGTGCAGAAGCACATCCAGCGGAGGGGGAGAGCAGAGAGGAGCGAGTGGCGGCGCATACGGAGTAGTATTACGCTCAGCTAATTTCCAACGTTTTCCATTCTTGGCAGCGACAGTGTGCTCTTAGAGACACATTTATAGGGAGAGCTAGCGGAATGTAATGCTAGCGAGCTAGCTAACGGTAGCTAGCTAATTAGCTTGTCAGGCAGCCGAGAGTCGGACGTGTGATCTTTATTAAAACAGGTCACAGTTTCTGGCGTCATTTCACTTTTAACCCCCTCTCCGATGAGAAAGGCTGGTCTTTCTGTTGTTGTTTGGACAAGATTTTAATGTGGCCATTATGGTCTGTCTGTAATAACCAACGCCAAGTTAGACAATAAACAGAGCGAGCTTTTCCATATTGATGAAAATCTGTTCAATATTATCCGTCCGAGGCTCTCCGTGAACATCAAGCTGTGGAGGAGAAAACAAAGGAATAAAAAGGGGAAAGGAAGCAGGAGGACAAAAAGAGGAGCAGACTCTTCATCAGTGACTGTCCCCCCACCCCCGTCCAATGTTAATGTCGACCGACGTTGCGTCCATAATGCTGCCCGTTAACCGGGGAATGATGGAGCGCGAGCGGGACCTCGAGACGGCGGCCGGCGGAGCGCATCCGAACGCGGCCGCCGGAGCCGCGGTCGTCCGGGGGATGAAGCGAGGAGACCCGGAGCCGGACGCTCAGACCGCCGCTGCCCTGACTGACCTGACCGGGGCGGAATGCAAGAGACCGAGGATAGACGGCTCCGGTGAGGTCGGACAGGTATGTAAATACAAAGACTCACATCTGTAGCTATTTTTTTTTATTATATGAATTTTTTTTGTTGTTGTAATTTTGTGCAATATCTATTGAGCAACACTATATATATATATATATATATATAATATATATATATATATATATATATATATATATATATATATATATATATATATATGTACCTCAAAAAGGCCAAGTCTGTCTCATCAATAATGTGATCATTCAACAAAACCCACTTTCAGCAGAATGAAAGTGTGAAAGCGACACATTTTAGCGAGCAGCAGCTAAGATGTTCTTTGTTGAGATCCTGAGCCCAGTGAGGGAGCAAACCCAGACAAAGGTAATATGATCCAGGCTCCATTGCTATGACAGACAGCAGCCCAGCAAAGATCAGAGCCATTCATCATGCCTGCCTCACAGTCACCCAAGGCTTTGTCACGTGTTGCAAGGCACTGTACATACATTTTTCTTTCTGCTCACAAAGACAATAAACACCTGGACTGATGGTCCTGATAGGAATGCAGTTAATCACTTGGTCCTCCCCTGTCCCCACCCCGATGCCCCACCATCACCTCCTGCTTTAACGTGGCTAGGTGTTAAGAGAGAGGGAGAGACAGACAGGATTGGGGGAGGGGTCAACCCGAGCGAAAGACAAAGAGCAGAGTCTTTTTGCTGGAGGCTTGAAGGAGCGAAACGGGGCTCCAGGGTGGTGGAGGGGGGGGGGTCCGGGGGTCTCCTTAACACGGGTCTTCCCTGCTTGCATGACTCCACAGCTGAGACAGCAGAGCGCCAGCCGCCTCGCTGGAATAATCTGTGGCTGTGGTGAGCTAGGGGGGCTTTGGGATGCGCTTCTCGCTCGCTCGATCTGGATCTATTGCGATTCAGTACTAATGCCTAATGCGGCGTATGTATTTTCAAATTTTTTCAAATGCTTTCTATTTTATTTTTACGCATGACATTCTTGCTCTAATCCAGTAGTCACGGGGACGGGCTGTGTTTTTAGAGCCGAAGGAACGAAGCCGAGAGTAGCGGAAGGTCAGAGGTCACCTCCTCGTGAGCGAATCCGAAGAAGTTCCTTAGCACGAGAGCAGCAAGCGAGGTTTTGAATAAGAGTGCAGATGAATTTGGAGAGTTTACACTGCTGCGCACTGCTGGCCAGCTGTTTGAGAGAAACAGTGACATTCTTGGCCTTAACAAATATGGCTGCCTGGAAACATTCGTAGGTTTGGAAAAGTAGATGTCACACAGTTGCATGGAAAATATATATATATATATATATATATATATATATATAATTTTTTTTTCTTGATTTTTATTAGAATAAAGACGTCAAATTAACCAAAATCTAGAGATGACATGTAGAAGATTGGAGAAGCCAACCGATGGCAGTTTTCTGGCCGATCACAGATCTCTAAAATTCCCATTTTCTTTGTCGGAAAAGTCGCTAAATTTGGCAGCAGACTTGCTTGATGCGCAACGGCGGGGCGACTGGGAGATCAGTTTGAATTTGCATATAAATATCGGCCGATCAGTGATCGGCCAAAAGGAAAATGAAGTTAGCCAGCTGATTAGAGACTGGATACCTGAACAAAAAGCCTGATGAATTCAACATTTAATGCCTCCTTGTCTTATTTTTCTCTTATGAAGAGAAGAAAAAGATAAAGGTTAAATTACTCTTATTGAAAGCTTCTGCAACATTTTACATATGTTTTATTCTAAATCTAAATTGAGCCAATATGTCAACAAAAAAAACCCCCAAAACAACCAACTCGTCAATGTAGAGATGCACCGATCACATAACAAATCGGTCAATTTTGCCTCGATCAATGGGTGGCTAAATGACAAATCAGATTTTTTTCTTAGTAATTTAATGAATCAAAGCTGAGAACTACAAGAAGATAAGATGTTCTTCAATGCACTTGTTTGACTTTAGTAAGCCATATAGCCCAAATTTTTTTATTTTTTTCAATATTTCATTTCATTCACATCTATTACTGAACCTGAAGCTCAGATATTTTCACTTTTCTGGGTTATTGTGTTCAGAATAATAAAACAAAAAGAGTCGGTGCCGGCCAGTTGGACGGCGAAAAAAATCGGTAGCAGTCTGAAACGGGAATCTGTGCGTTTCTGGTCACATCAGACTGGGACCGCATTGAGGCAGAGCAAAGGAGAATGAATGAGTGGAGGAATGATGGAATGATGGAACAACCTGCGCAGACGAAGGTCGGAACGATCTGTAGATGGATAAAGTTTCAGAGACGGATGAAAGTCTGAGGCGCGGGGTTGGGGGGCGGGGGGGGGGCTGAGAGGAAGAGGGAAAGTGTTGTGTGCGATCGAAATGCACCAAATATGGAGGGGAAAGGAGAGTCGCGGGGATGTGTTTGGGAATCGGTGGACCAAATAAAGGCCTGGAGAAAGAAGAAAAACCGGAGATAAAAATGAGAAGCACTTTACAGAGGATAAAAAAAAAAAACAACAAACTTTAGAGACACACAATCCTAGTCAATACGGAGGTGACGAGCTCGAGGTGGATGATCACCGCAGGATCTCCACTGAGACTGCTGACCTTCCAGTCTGCCTGTAATAATAAATGAGAATCCAGCCTCCTCCATTTGTTCCCCCCTCTTCCTCCTGCGTGTCCTCTGATTTGTCTCCCTCTCTTCCCCCCTTCAGGCTTATTTCCAGATTGCTAATTGACTCCTGATTTGCGGCCTTTCAGTCCACCAATGAGGTGGAGCTATCCCCTCCTCCCCTCCCCCTCCATTTTTGATTATCTTTCCATTTCTCAGTCCATCCAGCTCCATGATGGCCGTATTGATGTTTACCCTTGAGGCGGTGCTGCGGACGGACTACAGTTCTCCCCACCCCCCATCCAACTCTCCCTCTCTACGCGCGCCGCACTCTCTCCGATCCAGAGAGCCGATTTGTCCTATCGCTGGCAGTAAAGAGGCTTTGTGTCGCGCTAACGAGATCAAAGCTTATTTAGGCGAGGGCATTAGCCGGACTGATCGCTGTGACGGGCCAAAGCAAGAAGCGGAGGGCTGGACAGAGTAATATTAGGTAGCGAATGCTAAAGGTTACTCGGCGTGCAGTTTAGGATTTACGCTCTGGGCTTGGAATGCAAAATGTTGAATATTATAGCTTTTTGATGTTGAGAGTGGAATGTCAGTTTTTTTTTTTTTTTTTTAAGTAGCTTTTTGAGCAAAACTTTAGCCCATAAAGGAGTCTTTAGTTTTTCGGTTTAAGTGCCAGGCATGGAAAATCTGCACTTGACCCACAGGATGGAAGCTTTCCTACTATTAGCTGAACGTTTTAGTTACCTTAGCGCTACATCGTTGAGGCTCGGCCCGTCAGAACAGAAACAGTAGATCAAGTAATTGCATGATAAAGTAAAACCAGCTCAGATTTCCATTTTTATCTTCTACCAAAAGTGGATGTCAATAAGTAACTTGCCCTTTTTTTCCTCAAGTATGATTTTGCTTACAGAAACTTGTTCGTTCATTTTATTTGTTGCTAATTTATTTTGGATAATTAAAATGTCTTCCTGCTCCAGTATGAAGTTTTCATTACATTTTCAAGTTTATTGATCTCTGAGAATGTGTTCTTGCATTACTATTATTTTTCCATTAGCATAATAATATTACTCGATACTGGTCTCAAAACAACAATAATTATCGTTTGTCGCAATTACTTCCGGGACAATGTATCGTCCAGCAGCATTTGTTATTGTGACAGGCCTAATCACAGCAATTTCTTGTGAAAATATTACAGATGTACACAGCCCTTTTGAAAGGTGTAATAAAGAACATTTGGTTAAAAAATGAAGCAATGTAAAGTTTTGAATGTGAAGGTTTTGCATCATGATTTTTGTTTGGAGGCTTTGCCTTTGAAAGTAGCCTAACCTCCAGTCCAGAGCAACAAGTTTGAGTAATTCAGGCCTAAACAGGCAATATTATCCCCATCTACAGCCTCCAGATGCCTGACCAAACATTTGATACCATGGGGTTTAGAATGACTGGATGTGATAAAATATATATTATGGATGCACCGATCTAGGAAATTTGGGCCGATATGCTTCTTTGCTTCAGTTAAAAACTCAGCACTATGCTGCGCTGCATCACTATGGCTGCCACAAGACCGCACAAATGCTACATGACCAACTCCCTCTGAAATGCATGCAGAAACGGCAATAAGATGGGGCGAAAGATCCTCAATATCGGTGTTATTTATCGGACTGATACCGAAATGTTCAAAATTGCATCAAAAGGATCCTTTGTGATTGCACATTTTAATGTTGTGCACCTCTAACTATGCAGTATATTAGCTTTGTAGTTAGTTTATTAACTATGAAGCTAGTATTTATTCCAACAGTTAAAAAATCTACAAAAATCATACATAGTAGTTTCATTGCAATGTTTCTTGACAAAAAAGCAAAAAATAAAAAAATTGGAAGTGAATAAAATTCATTGGACATTTCAACACCCTATGGTTAGAACTGTGATTGCTTTATTGATTTTTTTTAAACATAAATTCCCTTCTGACCCACCGCGGGTGGTTCTTATCCTCTGAGTTCGGGTCCTCTACCAGAGGCCTGGGAGCTTGACGGTCCTGCAGTATCTTGGCTGTGCCAAGGACTGCATATTTCTGGACTGAGATATCTGATGTTGTTCCTGGGATCTGTGGTAGCCATTGCTCCAGTTTGGGGGTTACTGCCCCGAGGGCCCCGATGACCACAGGCACCACTGTGGTCTTCACCTTCCAGGCCCTCTCCAGTTCTTCCCTGATATATATATATTATATATATATATATATATATATATATATATATATATATATTATATATATATATATTATATATATATATATATATATATATATATATATATATAGTGCTTAGCAACAACCAGCTAAGGTGACCAAAGCGCCTTAGCTTTTCTAACATCACGAGAAAAAGAAAACACAAAACCAACAGTAAAAATAAGGGGAACTGCCACCACGTTTTT